GACTGACAATGGAATGTTCTGAGTGTTTGAGCCACTGTTAAGTGTGTGTTTGTTTATTTTCTGTATTTTGGAGTGTGTGAACGGGAACTTTGGGAGCTGGGAAAGGTGGACAAAGGAGATTTTTTGTTCTCTGTTACTGATGCACTTTATTGTTTAGAATCACCCTAAAATCAACCAGGTAAAAGGATAATTGCATTTTTGCTGATGCACTGCTGATGACCTTAAACACCTCATATATTATGACATATATTATGTGAGCATGTGTCTTTATGCTGAAGACACTTCATAGCTCTGTTCAGAAGTATACTTTCTTGAAAGATGCTTTATCTTATTTCTTATTATCTGTGTCAAGAGCTGCAATATTTGTTTTAACTATCTGCAAAATGGGGAAGCCACTCAGCAGACCAGACTGTTTACGTCAGAATCCCCCATGTGTAGGGAAGGGTGAAGAAGAGGAGGACCTAAATATCGAAGACTGTTATGTCCCACAGCGGTCAATCTATGATACTGTTAGACTAAATGAACAGATAGACTCTGGTTCAAAAGGTAGTCTATCTTCCAGGCATTTTACAGATCGAACTTTACCCTACAGTCACAGAACACTGGATGTTAGTTCTTTATGCTCTAATGGTGCCCTTACTTCTTCCAGTGTATTTGAGCTGAGAGGTCGGGAAGCTAACAAACTAGATGAAAAGATGATCTTTGATGCACTCAAACTAAATAGTGATATCATTCGAACCACAGGATTACCTAAAGCCAAATCTCACGCAGAAAAGAAAGAGCATAGACGGTCATGGCGAATGTTTGTCCCGACCAATTTTATGGATTATGCAAACAAAAGTGAAAGCTCTTTTGTTGAACCTACTGATATGTCAGATGCTGTTACCAAGGCCAGCAAGTGCAGATGGGGTACTAATTCTCTCACTTCGGAGGAGGATGACTCTGGTTTATGTAGCCCTCCAGCAGAGAGGGAAGAAAAACAGGGCATTTTAACTGGAGACCAGTCACGAATTAGAAGTTTGTCTTCTGCTGAAGATATTCATGTAACAGACCAATACAGACCTTTTTTTTCTGTTAATTCCATTAGCGAACAGAAAATCCCACTGCTTTCATGTCAAAGTGCCCACCCTGATGAAAATTTCAAAATGATTTTACATGATGTTTCTCCACTAGAGGAAGCAAAACGTGTAAATGGTCAAAGGGAAATCCACGATGAAAATTGTTGCCTGCGGAATAATTTGCAAGAGAGCCCTGTGAAGTGTGACCCATTAATTATGCCAAGAAATAGAGAAAATGAACATATTTTTAACCTTGGAGAAGAGGACAAAACATACGGACCAGGAGAATCCCAGATCACAGCACAAAGTAGGGAACTCTTGAAGGATTCCCCTCAAGATTTAGATCTCTCTCACACAGATCTAGGGGAGAGTGATGTAGATTGTGGTAGCACCAACGTAGTAGAAAATGTGACACTTTTGACACAATATGATTCAGGAGAATGTAATATTGCATCTAAAGAGGAAGTGGAGGCTCCTCTTTCTGCCCAGGAGAGCGAAATGCTATATAAGAAGTACTCCCTGAAATTCATACCAGCAAGAAAGAAAGCAGCACCCAGAAAAACAGGGGCCCAGGCAGGAATACTGGACACTGTCTGCAATGGCTTTCAGTTGGTTCAGGTAATTCATGGAAATATGAAACTCTGCAGTGTCCAAAGTTTGTGGTTCTGCTAAAAGTCTGTGGTTCTGTTTCAGAGTGGTCACTAGTGTTTCTAATAATAAATCCACACTTGTTTTGGGGGTTTGACTAGCACCCTACAAGATGCCACATATTGATAAATAGATCATTATAACAAATTAATAGGGACTGTTTTGGAGAAGAATTGTTATTCCCAGCTGTTCAGGGTCCTGTTATTGATTGTGCAGAAGGTGACCATTCCCCTTCATTTAGAAGGCCTCCACTGTAAATATGTTAATGTTGGGCTTTTATACAAAGTGTGGTAAAGACACTGCCATTTAAGGACTATTATATTGGATTTATTAAGTTTGAACCAGTTTAGTCATGAAGGTACAAACAGTAACATATTGTTATGGTCTGCAAAGTACTCTATCCACATTAAGGAGCTTTTTTAATACGATGAAAAATTTCTCTCAGGAGCTCTGCATGTGAGAGTAGAGTTAGTATGCTGTACTTTGCAGGCATTATAGCTCCCAACTTTTTGTGAGTGGTGAATGAGGTAAGAAAGTAAAGGGTGCAGGCTTGTAATAAGTAGAGGTTGTTTGTCAAGCCTGTAATTTTTTTCTTCCCACTCAGATTGAAGTTCAGCTATTTTGGTACTTTTACTAAACTCTTCTGGTAAACTTTGCCTCAGAGATTATTTTATTTTAAACTTCTCTTCATGCTTGTGTGCTATGGGTTAGATTCGGAGGAAAGTCTCTCTTCATAGGTATTTTGTTAACATTGAGAGATGAAGAACTTAGACAATATCAAAACAGTTCCTCTTCTCAGTCTATGAAATAATTGTTCTTGTTAGTTATGCCCTTTTCTTAGGCATGCAGTAAATGGCATGCTAATTTAAAAGCTTAGCAAATTAACTTTTTTCTGTAAAGGATATTTCAGTTTATTTGTGGAAAACAATTTAAATCTTAGGGGAGTATATACTCTTTAGTAGTTATCTTTTTAAATTGTTTGTATATTTTTGGTGGCACTTTAGAAAATTATCAGATTTACCTACATCTGCTCTGATATATGCCCCTGAAATTAATTTAAAACCAAGATCAGAGGTTAAGGCAATTTAATAGAACATTATTATTACCCTTTTGTCCTGAAAACTGTATAAGAGGGAAAATAAAACGTTTCCTTGAATCTTTATTTACAAGTTCCTGGAATTTAAAAGGTAGCAGTTTTTGTACACCCCCACCCCCCATCCCCACTAAGTAGTAAAACATATCCAAAGCTATTAGTCCTAGAAGTTATAACTTAGAAAGTGGTATGGAAATGAAATTGAATTATAATGCCAAATTCTATCTTTAACACTTTGTTGCCAAGTTTCTGTTTACATATTTGATAAATTTTACCTTTTTGCAAAATTATGGAGACTTCCTAAGTTTTTCCTCAATGATTTGGGTGAATCTTATAATTTATTTGATTATGTGTAATTGATTTTTAAATATTTATTATTGTTATATGCAAACTGCCAGTATGGAAATTATCTATATGTATATTCTGTGGAAAAGGCAGTTTGAGTTTTTAGCTATGAGGAGATTTTAGAGAAAATGATCATTAATTTGTTTGCTGTTCTCTAATTTACTCATATATACAGTAACACAGGAGTATCCTGTATGCTAGGCCTTAGACCAGAGTCTAGAGGATTTGTCTCCTGCAGTCTCTACATCTTTCAAAGTTATTTTTCATACTGTGTCTGTAACTTTTTTTCTTAAGTGCTATTTTAATATGTGCCTTTATTCTGTTTCCATGTATTAAGATTAACTGTCCAATCATTGGTATACTTATATAGTGCCCTTCAGGATAATGACTCAGAATCTCAAACTGTGTTTTACCTTAATATCTATGTGAAACTTTCCTTCCTTAGTTCCAATAATTTATTTTCCTCATGGCATCCTCCAAGCCCTATATTAAAAACATATTATCTATGAAAGAGTTGGCTCATACCTGTAATCTCAGCACTTTGCAAGGCTGAGGTAAGGAGGTTGCTTGAGCCCAGGAGTTTGAAACCAGCCTGGACCACATAATGGGACCCTGTCTCTACCAAAAAAAAAAAATTATTTTAATTAGCTGGGCATGGTGACATACACCTATGGTCCTAGCTACTGGGGAGGCTAAGGTAGGAGGATGGCTTGAGCCTGGGAGATAGAGGTTGTAGTGAGCTGTGACTGTGCCACTGCCTTCCAGCATGGGTGACAGAGTGAGGCCCTGTCTCAAAAAAAAAATAATAATATTGATGTATCTACTCCCAGTATTATCTGTTAAGGGGTTGATGTCATCCACCTAAGATAAAAATATAAATTTCTATACTGATATTAATTTGGCAAATAAATATTGGGTACATATTACATGGTAGGTACCTTGGTAGGCCCAGGTCATAGAACTACTGTAAGGAAAACAGAAATTTCTGCTTTCATGGCACTTGTATTTTAATCTAGCACAATAAATCTTTTGCCAGTCACAGGCAACTGGGGAACCACAAGTTGGATGGGATAGACAATAAGAGAGAGATTGCTAGGAAACGACTGTCAGTGCAGGTATGGGTGACAGTGACCACAGAGTATCCAGAGTTGCTGTGCTAGTGAGGTGTGTGATCAGATCCATGGGGTGAGGTCATTGCATTTCTTAAGAGTCCATTGGCAACTTCATAGACATTGAGGAGGCTATTTGTGTAGGGATCCATACTATTGCAGCACATGCCTATGTATTTTTCATTTTCCTATCTCTATATTTTGGCCCTCCTGCCAAGCCATGTTTTGGCCACTTGGCTCACCTCATCCTGTCCCTGATTTTCCATTTCCAATATGTGTCTCAAGCTTCAGTTGCCAGCTAGCAGCAGCCATTCTTAGGAGAGCCTATTAGGATTGCCTTGCCCATGAAGGCTCATTTTTTACTTATTTTATGTTTTTGCTCTTTAGCATTTTCTGTAAATCTTTTTCTACAGTTAAACTGGGAAAATAGAAACAGTCTCATCCTATGATAAGTAATAAAGAGAGGAGACATGTACTGTCTTCTTGGTTTTATAAGTAACTTGATGAAGTGTACTCAGAACATCATTCTTTAGTGTTCTCAAATGCTTTTGATGTGCTATTAATTTATATTTAGTTTCTTTCTGTTCTTCAGAAGGTAGCTATGACCTATGGCTAGACAATAAAAATTACCTTTACCTCTGTAATAATTGATAGTTTCCACAACCTGATGCCTAAAGAAATGCTTATTATATATTTGGTGGTTGATAAGTAATGTAACTCATATAATTATGACTCTTTTAACCGCAGGTATTCCAGAAAGAAGAGATTGAACCCTTGCAAGGTAAACAGCAAGATGTAAACTGGTTAGGTCAAGGCCTTATTCAGAGTGCTGCCAAAAGCACTAGCACTCAGGGCTTGGAGCATGACCTGGATGATGTCAATGCACGGTGGAAGACTCTCAATAAAAAGGTAATTTTCTTACCCACTTCATTGCTATTTTTGCTGATTATTATTCATGAGCATTTGTTGTGACCATGAATCATATTTATGGTAACCAAACTTTTCTAAATATGTCTATTGTCTTATATTACTGTAAACTGGGTGGCTCAAACTCAGATGCCTACTGGAGCTACGTAGGGAATCTAAATGAAAGGAAGCAAACTGGGTAAGACAGAGCCTCTCCCTGCTGTTATCTCGCCTTTAATCAAGACATGGTCACAGATAGAACAGTACAGGTATGATGGGCACATGCATCTGTAAGGGTACAGGTCACTACTTAGTTCCAGAAGATCATTGACATGTAGGGACGTAGGCCCACTCTTGCCAGATATTCTATTTACTTTCAAAATAACCTGGAAATCTCACTTTCTATGTGACACCTTCCTATTTTCAAATATCAGCAACTAATTTCACACTGTGCAAACAAAGCTATATCTTTATGTCATTCCTGGACTAAGTCCTGCCACCCTTACTATAGACCATCAACCCCCAATTACTTGTAAGATGTAGATCCAACCTTTTTCTAAATTCCCATGAGAGAAAACACTAGAAATAATGCTCTGATATCTTAGGGAGATAACACTGACCATATGACGGCAGGCAGCTCTTATGCGACATAAATTATCAGAAAATTATTATGGGATGGCAGTACATATCTGGTTGTGGCAGTGGTGGTTATTCTTGTTGTTTTCTTTCCATTGAAATCTTAAGCAGGTGCCAGGTCTTGAAACTATATTATTCACTCTTTAAAGTCTGATACATATTGTAGTGTACCTTAAACTCAGTTGGAATGCTGTGTCAGGTGTAAATATAATCCATAGCACTTACAATATCTTGCCAGCTACTTTATTCAGTCCAAAAGGAAAATATCTGTGAGACAAGCAATAAGATATCTCTATGTAGGACACAGAGACTCCATTTACTAGAAGACAAAGGGCCTGGTTGGTTGAAAAAAGACTCCAGAGCTTGGAGCTAGCAGAACTTAATTGGATACTTTTGTTATTCTTGCCTAGCAAAATACAATTCTGATTCTTTCTGCTATAATAGTTCCATTTATTCTTAGTCTTTTAAAAATCATTATCTCGGATATTAATCAGAAGGAAATAAAATGCAATATTGATAAAAATGACTAATGTGTTGTTTCTTACGATAACTCTAAAATATTTAAATCATTCATTGCTAATCATAAACGTATTAGACAATTCAAAAATCTCCAAGAGTGAGTGCTTTCCGTTGACTGTTTGTGATGGTAACCTTATTTTCACGCCTGCTTGCTTAAAGTTTGTCTCCTTTTCACTCGTATTCTGCCCGCTATCGATACTTTGGGTAAATTTTAAGTGAAAAGGAAAAGAAAATTTGCGAACACATGGGAAAATAAGCCTGTAAAATAGTGATCTGTGCTCAGATTGCATTATTTTGTGAAACAAATAAATAAGTGGAAACAATTGGCACTTTGCAGGTGGCTCAGCGAGCAGCCCAGCTGCAGGAGGCCTTGCTGCACTGTGGGAGATTCCAGGATGCCCTGGAGTCCCTGCTTAGCTGGATGGTGGACACTGAGGAGCTTGTGGCCAATCAGAAGCCCCCATCGGCCGAGTTCAAAGTGGTAAAAGCCCAGATACAAGAACAAAAGGTAAGTTAGTCATGCTTTTGTGTTGTGTTTCATATTAAATCTTAAGAACAAGAGAAAAAATACTCCTTGTGACTCTCTTAATTAATGGGATAACCTAGTTAACCCGTTATTGCTGCTGTAGACATTATTTTGTTAGTCATTCAACAAATATTTATTGAACATCTACCATGGGCCAGGCCTTGTTCCAGATGCTGGGAATATATCCCTGAATAAAAAAGATGAAAATTTCTCATTGAGTTCGAAACCAAGTGGGAAGGGTGTGGCAGGATTGAGAGACAATAAGTAAAGTAAATAAATGAATGGTGATAAGTTAGCAAGTGATGAATAAAGCAGAGATGTGGGAGAGGCATCAGGAAGTAATAGAGCAAAGATGAGGGACCCAAAGCGCTTGAATGGAGGGAGGGCGTGTGTGTAATTTTAAATAGGGTCATCAAGGAAGGCCTCACTGACAAGATGGCATTTGTATGGAAATACCATTGTTCCCTTACATATTAGGTTGATCCCTATGAAATTGTCTTTTTATATATTAAATATTGACAGTTTCTTTTGGTTCAACCTATTACTAAAGAGACAAATATTTGATTCATATATGCTGAGGAATGTGCCATTGTGTCTTTTGACACTACTAAAATGGGGCCAATTTGGGAAAATAGGGTCTTCAGAGGGATGATATATACCTGAGAGTGACCACATGATAGTTTTTGTGCCCCTGATGGCAGTGGTCAGGTATGAAGCATTTAATACTACTTTGAGTAGTAATCAGCCAGCCATGACTTGAAATGACATGTGGGAAGGATCCTAGAGCATGGCGTCCTGGTAAGGTTGCTCCCCTCTGGAACTTTAAAAAGAAGTGGGTGGATTGTGTTAATTACTTTATTTTAAAACTTAAAGACATTTTTTAAAATTTTACATTTTTTAGAAATTTATAAAAAAGATACATTTTAAATTTCTCTTTCTGTGCCTGGCTTATTTCATTTGGCATGGCTAATAATAATGTACTGTATATTTCAAAGTTGCTAAAAGAATAGATTTTAAAGGTCCTCACCACAAAAAATGACGAGTAGGTGAGGTGATGGATATGTCAATCAGATTGATTTAATCTTTCCACAGTGTATACATATATCAAAGCATTGAATTGCACTCTATAAATTCAATTATTATTCATCAATTAAAAATGGAAAAAACAAAAATTCCACATTTACCCTCAATTTCTTTTTTGTATTTAAGACTTACTGCTTACTTTAATTTCTACATTTAATACTGTCTCCCTAAAAGTTTTTGAAAACTTCAGCATATTGGGAAACTATGCCAATTAGAAATAGGTTTAGAGGTAAGGATTAAGGAAACATAACTGGAAACACATTGCATTTGTGTAATTTTTGCATAATACAATGTCTACCATTCACAATTTAAAGTTAACTCCCAGAGTCATGATGCTTAGCCGACAAAACCTATTAATTGATTTTGCTTTTTTAATTGCTAGAAGCTTTGTTATTAAAATGTATCAAAGTAATTAGTTCTCCTTGCTGCCAGAGCACCTGTTGTACTTTGATTATATCATGACTTTAGTATATAAAAACCTGTGCCAACACAGTTTGTATGTCTTACCGTCTTACCCTTCTCTTTAAACAAGTTCCTCTTACCTTCTGCCTTGGTGGTCTTGATCTCAAAATACTCTTTTCGCTTTTTACTTCTGGGTAACTGTCAAATCTTTAATCCTTAATTATCAGTCAGGATCATTAAGGAAGCAGCGAAGCATACTGTTTTGTACACTTAGGCCTTCCTCATTGCTGGCAGCACAGTGCCTGTGCACAGCAGTTGCTCATGAGCTATTTGTTTGATTAGATTAGAGCAAGGTAAAAGGCTTCTTAGAGCAAACATTTCATTTCAGGTACTTTGAAATATTTACTTAGAATCCAATTGAATTTTGTTTCTGGTGCTAAATCCTGAAATATTAGTCTTATTTAGCCAGCTTTGGAGATTTCTGACATCTTCTGGCCTCTCTTCCTGTTGGCAATGATGTGTAAAAGCTGTTTCAGTTTGCAGCCTCACACAGATTTTAGGAGCCAGTCCCACCTGGTAAAAGGAGCCAAGAGTCTCTCGTTTCGTTTTAGCCTTGTTAACTTGTGAACTTGGGCTGAGTCTTAACTTCCTTGTCTATAATGGATTGTTTAACGTGGGAAAGGGTTTTGAAAACAGTAATGATTTATAGGAACCTTTTGTATCTTGACAGGGCAGATAGTTGTTGAATGTTTAAGGCATTCTTATTCCATTACAAAAATGGAGATTTTGCACTTTTTTCATGATTCGTTGGAGTTATCCTAAATGGCACCTTCTACCGTATTATTCTATATTGAAAAATTAATAATGAGTTTAGTGGCCTTACCAATATTAGTTTTGTCTACTATGAGAAGCCCCTGCCACAGTGTCTGACCCAATAGTAATAAATCATTAGACAAATGAGTTACCTTTAAAATCCCACTTTTCACATCCTTTCATATGTGCATACATACAAAATACATTTTCGTCATATTTCAGAGGTACTTAGAGTACATTTTACTTTATATTCATATAATTATTCCCTTGCTTTTTTATATTTAATGTTTTGTCTCAAGCTTCTTCAAAGGTTGTTGGATGACCGCAAATCTACGGTGGAGGTAATCAAACGAGAAGGAGAAAAAATTGCTACAACAGCAGAGCCTGCAGATAAAGTGAAAATTTTGAAACAGCTCAGTCTCTTGGATAGTAGATGGGAGGCACTGCTTGATAAAGCTGAAACAAGGTAACTTATATACTTCCGGTTCTTTTGAAAGAGTAGCAGTGGCCTCTGTCTACAAAACTGACATTTTGTATTTCGGTAATACTTTTCTTCAAATCATGATTTTCCTATGTTTATCATGTATGTGAACAGAGATAGCAAAGATTGTAGTGCCTCTTTCCTCATTCCTCTAATGGTAATGGCTTGTCACCGCTATGTCCCAACTTTTTAAGAAAAGCATTTCCCTTGGGGGTGATTAATTTATTTGTTTATTACATAGTTACTTCCTGCTTACCACGCATCAGGCACAGAATAGTTATTTCCACTGATTTTAGATGATTGGATATTTGAATTTAGTAAAAAAGGTCACAGATAGTGATAATCCAGAGGTAATTATGAATATAGTAATTTTATTCATTTTTTAGGATCAAATGTATCAACTGAAAGTTTTTAAAAATATGTGTGTATTTTGATGTTATAGAAATTATATTTAATAACTCGTGCCAATTTTCTATAATTCCCTTCTTCCTCATAGAAAGCTAATTTTTAAAAACATGTAATTCCCTGAAAATTAAACATGATAAGAAGTTGAGGCAACAGTATCTCTTGATCCCAGCAGAAATTATGTATACAGGATTTGATACTGAATCAGGTACTCCATATACAGACCAGAACAATAGCTTGCCCTAGATAAATACTGAGGGCCGTGGAAATAGGTTTTAGCTTTAGTCCTCTGCAACCAAGGAAACGTGTTTCCAAAGGTATTTTAAAATACCAGTAAAAGTCCAGTGAATAGTTCTCCTCTGTTCATGATATTTTAATCCGTAAAATATTAATATTGGTTTTGGGAAGTAAACCTAACACTGCGCTTTTATAAAATAGGAATCACTATTAATTCCACTAAGCGTTGGAGGAAGAAGCTATGTATGCTCTTTAAAATTTGAAACCTGTTTTGACCATTTGATTAAAAGCAATCTCAGTAACTGTTGCTCCAATTGAAATTAATATATAAAGCACTTAAAATGGGGCCTAGCACAGAATATATGTTCAATAAATTTTACCTATTGTCATTACTATTGCTGCTGTTATTATTATAACATTGCTCTCATTATTATAACTGTAATTATTGGAAGTAGTTACAAAAGATTACTTCAGACTTTCATGAGATTCATGAACTTGAGGATGATCTGTTGTTCAACTTTAATTTTTTTTAACAGAAGAATTGTTTTAATATGTTCTTTAAATGTTAAGAGATTTAAATTTTAACCTAAGATAGTTTCTACAGAAAATGTTTAGAATAGATTGCAGGAGCATGACTGAAGATTTTTGTTGAATATTTCACACATTCTTCATCACTAAATGACCTTTTGGCACATTTGTAGGAATCGTCAGTTGGAAGGTATCTCGGTGGTAGCCCAGCAATTTCATGAAACCTTAGAACCACTGAACGAGTGGCTTACAACCATAGAAAAGAGGCTGGTGAATTGTGAACCCATAGGAACCCAAGCATCTAAACTTGAGGAACAAATTTCACAGCACAAAGTAAGATATAAATCACACATTAGAGAGGTTCAGTTTTTATTGTGTGGTTTTGTGACATAAATTTGAGTTATGTACTATTGTTTTGTTTAATTGCAAACTAAATCATTTCACATGTCATGCTTTAGTTTTATTTATGTTTTCATTTTTATTTGTCCATTCTTTTTTTTTTCTTCTTTATTGTTTTAAACTTTGTTTAGGCCTTAGAAGATGACATCATCAATCACAATAAACATTTACACCAGGCTGTTAGCATTGGCCAGTCCTTAAAGGTTTTGAGCTCCAGGGAGGATAAAGATATGGTGCAGAGTAAATTAGACTTCTCTCAAGTGTGGTACATTGAGATTCAAGAGAAAAGTCACAGCAGGTCTGAGCTCCTCCAGCAGGCCTTATGTAATGCTAAGATTTTTGGGGAAGATGAAGTTGAACTGATGAACTGGCTGAATGAAGTGCATGACAAACTGAGCAAGCTCTCAGTCCAGGATTACAGCACTGAGGGGCTATGGAAGCAGCAGTCTGAACTTCGGGTATTTTAATTTATTTTATTTTATTTTATTTTATCTTATTTTTTCATTTCAATTGTCATTTCTTAGTCCTTATTTCTGTGTCATTTTATGTTTATGATGATTTTGATGAATCACTGTACTCAAAAAAGACTGTTTATACAGATTACTTTTAATGAAGTCATTTTAAAGAAAAGAGTGGCTCTATCCAATTAGCTGGATATTTCACTTTTCATTTTGCTATTTTATTGTTGTATACAAAGACGTATATTAACCAGTACTTCAGTACGTCCACAAAGCCCATTTTCATAGGGCCCTAGGTATTTTCTGAAAAGGCATATGCTGTGAATTATGGTAGATGAACATGGGACATGGGGCCCGGTGGTGAAAAGAAGAGGTCTAAACATGGAAACAATAAGAACATTTGAAAATGTGAGATATTGACTGAAATATGTCTCTGTGAAATCTAATTAAAGTTCTCTGAGATTAACTAATGTTAATGCTAACTTAAATGTTTTTCCCCCCACATAAAAATGGTACTTGTGTTTTTAGGTTCTGCAAGAGGACATCTTACTCAGGAAACAAAATGTAGATCAGGCTTTACTAAATGGTTTAGAACTACTTAAACAAACCACAGGTGAGATATCTTTCAAATCAAATCATCATGTGGTCAGCATTTATATTGTTTTCAAAATATTTTAGGGATGGGAGAAAACCAAAACACTTTATAGTTTTTGGTCCAGTCCAAGACTTTCATTCTGGAGAACACTTTGAAGACCAATCAAGGAGGTGGTTAGGATATGATCTCACTTTTTTCTCATGATCTCACTTGAGTTCTTGATGGAAGTTGTGTGTATTACTCATAACATAAAGCACTTTGGCACGGGAGCTCATCAGAGAAGCCCAGGACAGAGTCACATTACTTTTCCACTTGTGAAAGGCAGATGAACACGTAGGTTGTAGACAATTTCTTTTTAAGATAGATTGCATTGCAGTGACACACAGTATGGCTATGTGCATAGCTATACACAGGCTTCATTTCTTCACGTCTGAATCACTAAGAAAACTGATACATAGTTTAGTATCTAGATGAGATTTTTGGGACAACTCAGGGAAACTAGTTTTAGTGATTCCTTTGGCCATAGGAATTTCACTATACCTATATCCAGTTCAGCAATATGTATATGTTGGGGGCAAGTACCATTTATTATGTATTGAAGAAATTAAATGTAGAATCAAGAGCCTTGGGCTAGACATCTGAAGCTCAGGACACAATTTTTCTGTGTGTCAAAAAATGAGGTAGAGGCAAATAAAGATCTGTTGGAATAGTGCAGATGAGTAATGATGAGTAAGAGCAGAGAGGCTAAGTATCTTGCCCAAAGTAACCCAGCTTTTAAGCCATGCATGAAGTCAGTATTTGAACTCACGCAGTTTTTAACTCCTCTTCTTTGAAAACAAAGTCTCATACAGATAGACACAAAAGTACTGCTTTCCACATAACTAAAGACACTTAGCCTTTTCCAGTTTCTACATTTGTATTTTCAAAGTGATTTAGATTTGCCCGAAGTCTTGGGAAAGATTAACATTTAGAAAAGGGCTTCTCTTGAGTAGGATTATCTTTAGAAAAATGTCTCCTTTTGTTCTCTAGAAAATTTCATCAGTGTTCCATAATATCTGAAGAAACCCTCCCCCTGCCTTTTTTCTTTCATAAGAAATAACGTGACTTTGAAATTTTAGGTGATGAAGTTTTAATAATTCAAGATAAATTGGAAGCCATTAAAGCAAGGTACAAAGACATTACTAAATTGAGCACTGATGTAGCCAAGACTCTGGAACAGGCACTGCAGCTTGCAAGGCGGCTGCACTCCACACACGAAGAGCTGTGTACCTGGCTGGACAAAGTGGAGGTGGAACTACTTTCATATGAAACTCAGGTTCTGAAAGGAGAAGTAGCAAGTCAAGCACAAGTGAGACAAAAAGTAAGCTCTCTTTTCTGCATTTTGGATTAGTCTTTTATCTTTTAGGGAGTCTTATTCACACAAAAATAAAATTATATTTGTCTTATGTCATTACATATGCTGAAGGATGCCTTGGTGGGTGGAGACCCAATAGAAATTGGCAGCAGATCAACTGTTTAAACTTTTAGGAGCCCAGATGAAAAGTTGAAATGAAAACAGTATATTATAATTGTTTCAAGAGTCTTATATTTGGGAGTATAGTTGATTACCCAAGGGAAGAGTGATGAAAACAGAAAAAAAAGGAAAATGATCATTGTTTCGGAGATATACATAATTTGGTTGGAATATCAATATTTCTATAAGATAACATGGGGTGGGTTTTCTAATTGTATTACAGAAGTAGTATACTACATGGTAATCATTCCTCTTTTCCAAGATATCAGCCTGTTTTTATCATCCTTGAAGTATGATCACATGTGGGTGAAAGAGAGTTGGTGAGGTCAGGCTCACTGAGCCTGTAATGAGTCTACTGTCATGATTTAAAGCCAGTTTGTCCTCATTTTGAGGGTCACTTAATTCTGGCTTGGAATATCCTGTTCATTTTACTTTTCTGTTACCTGATTACTTAGAGTTTCTCAGAAAGCAAAGAATAATACATGTTAACTTGCTTGTTTTTGCTTCTGAAATTTTAAATATTTATATTAAATTTCAAAGATAAAATCTTGCCATGTCGACAAATGAATTGTTCTTTCAACTTCTCAGGAAACATTTTTCTTTTCGCAAAATAGCTTCAAATAAAAAAGGTTTATTTAACTTAACTGAAACTAAGGGAGGGGGGAGTGGGGCAAACCATCACGTTATTCGCCTGCAAAGGACTTGAGCTCCAAGAACAGTTAAAGGAAAAGTCTGTTGAAGCTCTTAAGTGTTACTTACTTATTTGTATGTTTTCAGGAACTGAAAAAGGAAGCTAAGAACAACAAAGCCTTACTGGACTCCCTTAATGAAGTGAGCAGTGCTTTGCTGGAACTGGTACCATGGAGGGCAAGAGAAGGACTTGAGAAAATGGTAGCTGAGGACAATGAGCGCTACCGATTAGTGAGCGACACCATCACTCAGAAGGTGGAGGAGATCGATGCTGCCATTCTGCGATCACAGCAGGTAGGGAAAAATGGTTTGTTGTCTAGGCAATAAATTTTCTCCAGCTGTTCCCAGAGCCTTTACCTGAACAAAGATGCCTGTTAATACTGTTTCCATTCATTTGCTGTGCTTCCAAAATGAAAGGGTGGATTTGAAAAGAAGTTGACTGGGCTCCTTCGACGTCTGAGCACCAGGGCAAGGCTAATCTGTACATTGTTAACAGCCATCTGCCTCATTGTTTCACAGATTTATCCTTACCAAGTCAGACACTGCGAAGATCAGCCCAGCTTTCCAAACAAAATGCTTTTGTCTACACATATGCATATTGCTGCTATTAATTTTTATGTATTGACTAAGTCTAATCTGTATGTGAGTAAATACTGTGAATTGTTGTGTAAGGATGTATTAACTGTTCATTTACAGAAAGCTGGGGCAAAGAGAAAGTTTTCTTTTTAAAAAGGAAGCAGTTTTTTTTGGTAATGTGAAGTTTTTTTCTGAAGATGACAGAAGGGGGAAAAGATGATAGGTTCCGATTTGTCTGTAACTCTTGCAGAATGTATACTCCCAGAGTTTTATAGGCATTCAGCCCTTAGCCACAGCTCCCTGGGAAGACTATGGGCAATGAGTGGGGTCCTGGAAATAGAAGTTTATAATACATGTGTTGATTAACTTTGGTTGAAATTTCTGAGAATATTTACATTAAGTCATCAGATTTACTACGAAGTTTATGTGTTGGGGTAGTATGATATTGCAGTGTACTTTAGAGCAGAGTTTGTGATGGTGTACGACTAAGCTTTCACTAGTGTGAGCCAAAAGCAAGAAGCATAAATCAAGCAGATTCTGTGGGAGCATCCAAAATTAATTTTCTAATGTTGCCGTAGAAATGGAATTTATAGTTAGTTCTAAAGCATAATGTTCCACTCCTCATTTTAGTGCTGTGCTGTAGGATCACAACAACTGATGAAATACAGTGATAGCAAAAGCCCTGCCTAAGAAATTTTTGTGAAGGAGGGCATTCATGCTCGAGGAATGTATTTGTGTGACTCTTTTTAAACAGAGGAGTTTGTATGCCTCATTATTATAGGAAAATGAGGGTGTTTATTTGTGAAGTTTATTCAACTATTGAAAAATATATTTTTTTCACTGAAATGTATTTGAACGTTTCAGAACTGGCATCTTCTCTAAATAGCAAGAAAATTATTCTGTACTCTTGGGAGTAAGATTTTCTTGAGAAGTTGACTATGGTTGGCTGGTTCAGTAAAGTGAGACAGTAATAAGGGCACGGTCACAGATTGAGTTTGCATTGGTTAGTAATCTCTGATATGTGTCAAGATCATTAACTGTGGCCAGGTTCTTCAAGGTTTTGCATATGTTTTCCAAAGGTGTGGGGGAAAGTAAGTCAGCGTAAGTCTTCCGGAATCCAAAATACATATCCTTTAGGAAAATAATGATTTTTTTTTTTCTGATAAAATCAGTCCTTATTTAAAATTTCAAGATTTTCTCAAAGAATACAGAAAAATTCATGAAAGAAAGCATATGTAAGCAATTTGGTCTGTATCCTTCCAGTCTTCCTCTTGAGAGAGAGGAATTTATGTAGTAAAATCCTTTTGCAAGAGAAAGACAATGTATATAGTAAAAATCTTACTACCAATAGATTACACATCTTAATGCCATTAATATCTTCTGGTTGTTCATGTGTGTATTTTTATCTTCATTTCTTTGAAATACCTGCAAGTCTGTCCAATGAAAATACCTCCAATTAGGCTACATAGACACACAGATATTCAGAGCTGGGAGGAACATGCACAGCCTGCATGGGAGTGAAGTGACTTGCCTGTGGTCTCACGAGCAGTAAGTGGCAGAGTAGCAACTAAAATTTAATCGATATTTCATTCTCCCTCACTGCTGTGCCTCCTCATAAATTATATATAGAGAAAAACCCTCAAGGGTGGTAAACCATTTTTTTCTAAACTTCTTCAATAATCTGAAGGTTCCATTATTACAACAAAGTCGAGGTATGTAATGAGAATATTTCCAGCTATAAAGACTGTGGAGGATGAGAATGCAACACCAAAAGGATCATAAAACATTACCGTGTAGGGAAACCCCTAAGAATAGAGTGGTAGGTGGAATAAAGTAGTAGGTATCTGTCTTCCTGGTGTGGCAGAGATTTCACACTTAAAAGATAAGTTTCTAAACTCATAATTTCAAGTTTATAAAGGAGCTAATATATCACCGAAATATTTTATAAGGTTGCCTACTTATAGATGTTTGGAATTAGGACCAGAGTACAGTTTAATAAAAAATGTTTGTTTTCTGTTTTACCCAATAACAATACATCCATGAAATATAAAAAGGAGTGATGAAAAAAACGTATCTTTAGACCTGAATATTAGCCACATATTTTGGACTATCTGTTTTACATTGTTTAAACAAATTACCATTCTGAGTCTCTTCTCCATATGAAATATGGACACGGTATGACCTGAGCTCATCTTTTTAGACACACATTTAGTCATATGCAATTTATTTTATTAACAGTGACTCTTCCCCCAGACCCCTGCCCCCAGCCTACCAGCACCCACACGTGATGGGGTAAGAACATGTGCCTTGAATAATACTTCACAATTTTAAAATTTATAGATTTAATGATTTGTCCCATTTAAATCAGGGAGAGTTAAATTAGATTTTAAATGACTAGGTGTTCTGTTTTCTGAGCAGAAATAGCTCTTAAGATACTTCATATTTTTTCCCAGTTTTAAGGTTGCGTGTATACAGATATACCTCCTTTATGCCAACCTGCTTTTTGGAATTTAACAAAAGCATAAACAGTTTGTCAACTGTGAAGCCACAATCACAGAATGTATTGACTTCAAACATCAGTGTGGAAGATGTCAAGAAAAACATGGAAAAGACTTAAAAGTTTGAAGGGAGAACAGAAGGGAACATACAGATATCTTCTAATTAGCATATACTTTGTAACCACCATGTATAAATTTAGGTTTTTAAAAAGTTTTGATTTGACAGGGTTAGATTTTCTTGTTAATCCTATATCACAATAACAGTTTTGAAAAGATATGCTATTGAACCTTCATAATATAGGTGTGAAGGTCCTATTTGTTATTATCTGAGAAATAATTGAAAAGCCTCAGTAATGGGTGAATGAGTAAGAACTTGTACATTTGTTGATACCACCCACCAAGCTCCCAAGTCTCACTCTAGATTTGCAGGCATTGATATTCTGAAAAGGGCATTATTTTTTAAAGTAATTGGGTCCATTCATTACTTTTAGGAAGAATCTGAATGGGACAAGGCAGCTTAGTAAATAATGATGTTGAGCTAAACTGCCTCCCTTTTACAATACATGCCATTATATGAGTTATAAACTACGTATTTCTGCATTTTAAACCTACACAGAGTAGCATACCTTTGTTGCTTTCTTTCTACAAGCTTTGTGGAAATGGGGAAAGGCACTTTTGCTTGAAAAATGTACAGACTTGGGTTCTGAATTCAGACTACCTTGATTCTTTAAGCCTCAGAGCAATTCATCATCCTTTGCTTCTTATAATGTACAGTTGTCAGTAGTTGCTAAAATATGTATATCTCACTGGGTTTGGGAATCCCAAGCATTCTTCAGCAGTTCTAATTGCTTGGCTTGTGTAAGTGGGCCCCATAATAACCCTGTTAGAAAGGCCCTTGGATTGGTGGTTTGGGTGCAGTTAATGCAAACAACTCAGTGGGTCATTAGGAATCAGCCTGGAGAAAAATACCACCTGTTTATTTCTTTTAAAGGACCAGAAGGAAACATCTCCTACGGAAATGAGATTTGTTTAGACCCTCCAGGTGTTGTGGATAGGAAAATATGGGCTGTGTTACAAATAATGAGAAGCAATGTGGGAGGAAATGCTAATCAAAAGAGAGTGATAAGATCCCCAGTCAGGGGAAGGGAGTAAAAAGGATGTCCTTGAGGTTAAGGTTTGCTTATCATTCTGCCTTAAACCTCTATTAAAACCTTAAACCTCTATTAAAACATATTATGTATTGACCTTTGTGATATTTGGCAGTCCAGAAGTCAGACCACCTTTGTTAGAATCTCAGACTCAGCATTTACTACCTGAGTAACCTTTGGTAAGTTAGTTAACTTCCCTTTACCTCATTTTTCTAAGCTGGAAATGGAGTTAGTTAATAGTAATACTCACATGATACAGCTGTCAGGATTAAAGGAGATATTACATGTTAAGCACTTCGAACAATGTGCTCAGTAGGATGTTGGCTGTTACTGTTTTAGAGAGTGTTTTTCAGGCATATTTAGACGTAGCTACTTAAAATGTCTTGCAGTAACTTTTAGAAAATTCCTGAAATGCTAATTCAACCATAAACAGAAGCTACAGTAGCTAGAGTTGGTGGTTCGACTCCTCTGATGCTATTAAAGTATTTCCCCAAATGCAGTTATGGATGCCCAGATTATCAACATTTTATGTTAAGTCAAATTTTGCTACTCATATGAGTAGTAAACAAATTTACTAAAATTTGGTCTAGTATGTTTCTCTCCATGTTGCTTACATGTAAAATGAGCCATTTTTATGGTCTGTTAGAAATGCACGTTAATTAGTCATTTGAGTGAGTCATAGGCCTAAAATGCCTTGCCTTACTATAAATTACTTAATGTAGATCCTGTAGCTACTCCCTTTGTTGCTTAACAATATTTGATAATTTAATTTAAAAATTTTCTCAAATGACAGATGGGAAATATCTGCTTGAAGTCTTTTTTTTTTTTTCTTAGCAGAGCAAATGTTTGACTTGATCAAAGAAACATTGTTTAGATTTCCTCTTTTGGCACCTTAGATGGTATCACCGTGCTGTTTATTGTTGGAAAGTTTTTTGTATCTTTTTTTAAAATACGGGAGACATAGTGTTAAACTAATATTAATATTTCACAAAGTGACTTTCTTTGTGAGGGCACTCATTTAAATACTGTCCGGCTGAACACAAATGGGTGGGGTGTCACTTTATGGTTTTTTCAGGAACCAGTACAAGAAAAAAATTCATAACTGTTAAGTTTTATTCAGATATCTTGCAGTATTTGCACTCAGGTAGAAAGGCCTGGACTGTTTTTCTCTGTTTTATATTCTTTAAGTGAATCACATAATCAGTTTTTACCTATAACTTTATTGTATATGCCTTGAAAAGTAAGAATCCACATAGAAGACTCTTTCACTTGTTTTTCGTGGGGATTCTTTCTCCACATCTGAAGCTGCTGAATTAGTTGATGAAATGTTTTTCTTTTGTTTTCATATTGATCAATAATTGCTAATGAATAACTCCATTTAAAATTAAATAACATCACAGAAACTGTTGAACTAGATTAAGATAGATTATTTTAAATGGTTTCTTGGTTTCCTTATAATCACAGAAAGTCTACCTATAAGCTTGACAATATTAAATTTTCAATATCAAAAAATAAATTATACCCCACGTTGATGAAGTTACAGCAAAACACTGCTTGTGGGAGTGTCCGTTAGCACATTCTACCTGAAGGGCAGTTGGGCAGTATATATCAAAGAGAGAACACACAAATAGGAACTTAGAGGTGAGAGGTTACTCACAGAGTTGTTTTTCTTTTTTAAAATTTTTTTAATTTAATATATTTTCTTTTAATTTTTAATTTTTATGAGTACATAGTAGATGTATATATTTATGAGGTACATAAGTTATTTTGATACAGGCATACAATGTCTTAGTAAAATTAAACCTGTTCTAAGTTAATTGTAAATGCACCTGCAGCTGTAGGAAACAATACAGAGAGACCCCATTGTATCCTTTACTCAGTTTTCCCCAGTGGCAACATCTTTATAGTAAAATATCACAGGCAGGATATTGACATTGATACAGTCAAGATACAGAATATTTCCCTCACCACAAGAATCCTTCATGCTGCTCTGTGAGCCATACCCATTCCATCACATCCTATCCTCCCTGACTTCTGTCAACCACAAAGCTTTTCTCCATTTCTATAATGTTATCATTTCAAGAATGTTCAAGTATTTTATCAGTCACAACCTCTTTCTCCTCTCCTTCTGGGACTCTGACAACATGAATATTAGGACTTTTGTTGTTGTTCCACAGGTTCCTGTAGTTCTAATTATTTTTTAAGTTATTTTCTATTATTCAGTGTGGGTAATTTCAATTTCTATTTCTAAGTGGTAATTTATTTTCCTTCACTGATTCTTTCTTCTGTCCCCTTCATTGAGCTCATCCACTGAGATTTTTATTTCAGTTTTTTTTTCAGTGGTACATTTTCATTTGGTTCTTCTTTATACTGTATATTCTTTTTCTTTGCTGAGATATTCTATGTTGTTGATGAAGCCTTCTAGTGTTTCATTTGTTTCAACTATGAACATTCATAAGTACTCATTGAAGCATTTTTATCATGGCTGCTTTAAAATCATTGTCAGATAATTCTAACATGTCTGCCATCTGGGTATTGGCATCTATTTGATTATCTTCTTTAATTCAGTTTGAGATTTTCCTGGCTCTTATATGACGTTATGTGTGTTAGAGCTTAAGCTTTCTGTTTTAGCTGCCTTCCTCTGTTACCACTCTGGGAGAAGAAGCTGGAGGTTCTACTAGGTGAAGGTAGAAGTCTAGGTTCCCAACTCAACCTCTGTTGACACCTAGGAGATGGCTCGTCATTTCTGCTGGGTGGGAGTGGGAGTTCTAGCTCCCTATGTGGTCTCTACTGGTACCACAGTGTGGGTGGCTGTGATGGTGACACACTGAGTGGTGGTGAGATCCTGACTCTCCACTAGGCCTTCTCTGATGTCACCCCAGAGGAGAGGAGGGAGGGGCAGTTCGTTACTGCTTAGTGGGGGTGGAAGCCCAGCCTCCCCACATGGTCTCAACTGATACGATAGTCTGGGCCTTGTTTTTGGGCAGAAGGGATGAAACTTCTGGCTCCCTACTTGGCATTCTCTAACATCTCCCAGCAGGAGTGTTGAGGACCTTGTCACGGCATTACAAGGGTGGAAGTGTAGGCCCCCCATTTGTCCTTTCTTGGCATGAGTGTGAATGGAGCAACCATTTTTTCTGTAGTGTTTGGTTGGAATAGAGTGGTTATTGTTTAAAGTTGTCTGTTTTGCTGCACTACTCCTTTCCTGGTCCTTTGGCTAGAGAGAGGAGGCTTGTTTTGGGACTTTGTACCCATTAGTGTTGTGTGGTTGCCAGTTTCTCCAGTATTTAGTCTTAGATACGTGAGGCAAAAAGAAAATCCCAGAGAACTCACCACTGTGTCTTTCCTGGCAGCCCAAGGTCCATGGTAGTTCTGTCCTCTTCTCTCCACTTTGTGGAATCTTCTTATATATGTTTTATATATAATGCCTAGGATTTTTAGGTTTACTTATCATGAGAAACAGAGAAAAGCTAATGTACTCCATTTTCCCATGAGTTGGCATAGTGTTGCAGAGAGTTTTAAAAGTGTGAATTTAAAAAAATCTAGTTCCTTATGTCCACCCATCTTTCTCCCCAACTACCTGTTTTCCCACCCCATCTGGATTTCTAGATTCCTTTGAAAAGTTAGGAGATCTGGCAGTACTGGACTTGAATAGCCAAATGTTCATTCCTCATTAATTCTTCCAACTGAGGTCATTTTAGTGATCATTTATTTTCGGTACTGTGGTGTCACAGGCCCATTTTATCCATTTATGGTAACTGCTTGGCCCTGGAAGGCACTAGGGTTTATTCAATGGAAGACATTGAAAATGTTCGTGCTCTTTGACTTGATAGTCACTTTTAGGAATCTATACTAAGGAACTAATTAGAAATGCCAACAGAAATTTATGTATAAGTATCTTCATTATAGGGTTGTTTGTATAATAACGAAAATGCAGAAAACTTAAATGAAAATCCAGGTATGCTGGAATATAATGGTATTATTTGAAAATCACATTTAAAGGAGTATGACCTGGGAAATGTTCATAGTAAATGAAAAAGCAGGATATAAAGTTGTTTATACAGTGTCATCCCAGACATTTTTACAAATCTTTCTCTCTTGATTTGTGGAAGAAAATTCACTACAGTACCAGCAGTGTTAATTCTAGGTTTTAATTTTCTTCTATATGTTTTTCTCTGCTTATGAATTTGTACTGTACTTATAAATTACTGTTATAGATTACTGTTATGATCAGGAAAATAACATTTCTTAAAATATTTAAGAATGCTCTTTAAAATGTTTTCTGCCATTATTAAATGAGATGCTTAAAAATTATACATGAATCATTTAGGGGTATACTCTGCATATCTAGAGATGTATATTACACATATTTATAAACATAATAGTATAATAAATAAATGGGAATATTCTATTCTTTTTGCTAGGAACCATGTACTTTGATAGCAGAATGTTAGGTGCATGTCATAGGAGTTGAAGTGATGGGTGAAATGATGAAAAGATGGTACCTGGCTGTTGGCTTTCATAGCTGTTACATTTGGACAGTACTCCTAAGGTGCAAATTATTAAGACTGCCTGAAAAGAAGGCAACAGTGCTAGCTGTCCTAAAATCATTAATTCAGTGCTATAAATCCAACATGTTTTAAAAGCTTGTGTTTAATTACTCTGTGGAAAGTTCTCTTTTCTTTAAAATGTAGTCATTATCATGAATTATTTTAGGATGCCATGAGGAGACAAGCTCAGATTTTCCACTTGTGTAATAAGGATATTTCAAAGAACGGTAGATAGGTATTTTCTGGCACCAGGGACAGGAACGTGCTGACCTAATTATTTATCTTTTGTTTAGTTTGACCAAGCAGCTGATGCTGAGTTATCCTGGATTACTGAGACAGAGAAAAAATTGATGTCTCTGGGTGACATCAGGCTTGAGCAAGACCAGACTTCTGCTCAGCTTCAAGTTCAAAAGGTGAAGAAATACATTTCCAATTGCCATATAAATTATTTGCTGGTGTGCTCCAAGTCTATAAAATGTGCTTGTATGATTTACTTTTTAGGACCCCTCTAGTGTAACGTCATATTTTTAACTACTCGCCTAATTGTTTTCATTTTAGTCATACAATTTCTTGTTTTATTTTTTGTCTTTATTTTGGTAAATCACAGACATTCACCATGGAGATTTTGAGACACAAGGATATTATTGATGAACTTGTTAAATCTGGGCATAAAATCATGACCGCATGCAGTGAAGAGGAAAAGCAATCAATGAAGGTATAATCTTGTCTGTGGACTGGTAGTGGGACTCTTGAAAAACAGCAGGTGTTGAGCTTTCAGTCCTAGAAAAACACTTTTCCGTTATCCACAGCTGCCATTTAAGCAGCAAAAATAATTAGTTTAAATAAGGCATTTTTCAAGTTTATAGAATAACGGTAAAAGGAATATTTCTTAAGAGAATCACTACAAGGACAATCTTTTTGAATAGGCACAAAAGCTATTAAGGTTTGAGACCTTGGTTAACTGGCACACATTAAGCATTCAGTTAATGTTAGCTGTATTGTTGCCATTATTATCAGTATAAATTATTGTTTTTATATGTATCAACTATTGTTTATATGCTTCAGAGACATTTGGGCCTCTTAATAAAAACCAAAATATGTGGCTCTCTCTAATGCTGAAATCCATTTTATATAAAGTTACAGTAAACTATTAGGGAAAATATGAGCTGAGTAATTAAGGAAGCATTCAGTTTGTGTAGTTTTAATTATCCTTTAAATTGGCAGAAAACCAGCTACAAATAAAAATGTTCAATTCATATTCAAACATCTAAGCAGCCTAAAGAAATTGATGTATATTCATGCTTCTGGTAGGAAAGATATCCCATGGCAAAAAAATATAGGAATCTCTATGCCTAAAATCACATTTTAAAGAGTATGCATTGCTTTTAAGGTAGACCATATACAAAATAATAGAATGCACAGTGTAATGATATGCACTCTTATATTTATTTATACGCTACAATAACAATTTGCTTGTTTATAATTGAATCTTTATTATTTTTGTAAAGACTCTGATGTGAAAAATACAGATTGTCTTGAAATAGTTTCTTTGTTATTCAGTGGTTTTTTGGGTTGTGATTGTGCTTTATCTTCTGCTATTAGTTTTTGCTATAATTTATCCCATAATCTAGATCACTGTGACTACCCCGTTAAATCAGTGTATAGCACAATGGCACAATGTTCTGTCTTGATTCCTCTCTTTCCATGTCTCTTTCTCTTTCTCTTTCTCTTTCTCTACACACACATATGTATACACACACACACATGTGTGTATATACATACACACATATATGTGTATATGTCAAAAATTAACTTTGTTAACTAAAAATTTTTACAATTTCATTTGCAAAAGGTAGTCTTTATATTTTTTCTGCAAAATAAATGTTGCCAGAATCATATGAGACTTATTTTCTAGTCTTGAAGCCATTGTAAGAATGACTGGAGAATTTTGCTTATTGTTTTTGGAAATCTCAGTGTCTTATTCATAAAAACTTGAGGCACTTTAATTTAAAGTGAACTTTTGTACATATAAACCATTAAAATCTGAATAGCTTTTACTGATGTATTCATTTAATATACATTTGTTGAATGCCCACTCTGTCCAGGTGTAGTGTGCTGGACAGAGCACTCTGGAGTGTGTGTGCTTGTTGGCCTGACCAGTAAAATGTTTCATCCTTTTATTTTCTAGAAAAAACTGGACAAAGTACTGAAGAACTATGATACCATCTGCCAGATTAATTCAGAAAGGTATCTGCAGCTGGAACGGGCACAGTCCCTGGTTAACCAATTCTGGGAAACATATGAAGAACTTTGGCCATGGCTGACAGAAACACAATCAATCATCTCTCAGCTTCCCGCCCCAGCCCTTGAATATGAAACTCTAAGGCAGCAGCAGGAAGAACATCGGGTAAGCCTGGTGTGAAAGAGAATATTGTATTCCCCATTAAGAGAATCATGATTTTTATGGTGGTTTTTAGTGCTGTTAAACATTTACATGATTAAGGCATTTTAGAATATTGTGTTCTGGTCTGTGTAATTTGCTTACCTCATAATTGCTTCTTATACAGGGTTATAGTGAGAAGACTCATGTGGATAGACTTATTGTATATGTCATTAATTACATCACAACTTGTATAAAATATGCAGTATAAATCATCTAGATAGAAAAAAATTCCCATTTAAAAATGTTATAGAAATAAGCTTTTGAAGTGCTTTCAATTTACACACATTGAATTGTTTTAAATTTATACATTTAGAATGTAAATGCCGAGTGGAAATATATGGGAGAACGATTATCAGACAAAGCCATTGAGCTTGGAGAAAATGTGTAATATAATGAATGTGTCAAAATAGCAATATTGTGAAAGCTATGAAAAGGAAAAATGCTGAAGTGTAAAGACAGATTATTTTGTTCACCTTATGTACATGAAACTCCTTTGAAGTTCTTGTTCCTGTAACTGTAAATGGGTAAAGTAGGAGGAGCACATTTACAACGACAGTTACGTCACATTTTTAACATGTATGAAATGGCACATGAAGCCCTCTTTTCAGCAGTCACTTAACTGTTAACATGGCTTAAAATTTTGTAAGAGTTTATGTGAGAGCGCATTCAAGACTGTCAGAAAGAAAACTAGATTTCCTGCTATTTATGGACTTGTGAACCTAGTTGCTCTTCCAGATCTGTACAGAATGTACTCTGAGACTAACCGTGGTGTGCATGTATGTGTGTATATGCACGAGTGTGTGTGTGTGTACACTTGTGCCCAAGAGACAAGGAGGGAGAGAGAAAGGGAGGGAAAAGTTCAATTCAGGGTTTATTACATCATTGTTTGCAATATGTGACATACTTGTTAATCTTGTTTGTTTACCTTTTTAATGAATTGTCATTGAAGACTATACTGGAGTATTTATTTAAAAGAGAGTTTTAGAGACCACACTTTAACTTTCTTTAATATAGAATGGGAATCTTATGGAGTTTTATCTAAATGATTCAGCAGGAGAAAGACAAGTATGTAGAATTCAATTTTTGTATAAAGGTTTATTTGTGGCAGAAATCTGGTGTCTACTCACTGAATTATTTTAAATAAAAAATGTTTCATGGATTTCTATGCTGAGGTGATTTGAATAGCCACGTTTTTAGCATAGCATCAAATAGTATGGAAAGGTTCATTATTGAGCTGAAATTTTAAAAATTGAGTTTTTTGCCTTTTTGCATAATCTTTAAGCTCTCAAAACAAATTTGTGATTGTATAAAGGGAGGTAGAAAGCTTTGTAGCCACATTTTGAAATGGTTTAAACTAAAAGCTTTGGTGTTTCAGAATATTTGTAGCCTCGTAGGATGGCATTTCTTCTCCAACTCTACAGTATCCTCTCCATGTATTTTGGGGGGAAATCTAGTTCATTCTAGCCAGGAATGAAAAATGGCTCCAAGGGCCATGTTACCACATGATAGATATCTGAAAGTCACACCGGATAGCTCCAGCGTGACTGGACTCCTATGACAGCATGTTGCCAAGAATCATTTTGTCACATATAAGGCAAAAGGCATCTCCTTTTGGGCCCTTTTCTGATGCACGCACATACCTGAGTAGATGGCCAGTAGGTGTTCTCTTGCCTGTCATGGAACAGTTTAAGAATGGTTTAAAAGGCCGGCCTGTAATCCCAGCACTTTGGGAAGCCGAGACGGGCGGATCACGAGGTCAGGAGATCGAGACCATCCTGGCTAACACGGTGAAACCCTGTCTCTACTAAAAACACAAAAAATTAGGCAGGCGTGGTGGCGGGCGCCTGTAGTCCCAGATACTCAGGAGGCTGAGACAGGAGAATGGCAGGAACCCGGGAGGCCCAGCTTGCAGTGAGCCGAGATCGCGCCACTGCACTTCAGCCTGGGCGACAGAGCAAAACTCCATCTCAAAAAAAAAAAAAAAAAAAAAAAAAGTTTTAAAAAGGGCTCCTCAGCCAGGCGCAGTGGTTCACGCCTATAGTCCCTGCACTTTGGGAGGCCGAGGCGGGTGGATCACTTGAGGTCGGGAGTTCGAGACCAGCCTGACCAACATGGAGAAACCCCGTCTCTACTAAAAATACAAAATTAGCCGGATGTGGTGGCTCATGCCTGTAATCCCAGCACTTTGGGAGGCCGAGGCAGGCGGATCACCTGAGGTCAGGAATTCGAGACCAGCCTGACCAACATGGAGAAACCCCATCTCTACTAAAAATACAAAATTAGCCGGTTGTGGTGGCATATGCCTATAATCCCAGCTACTTGGGATGCTGAGGCAGGAGAATTGCTTGAACCCTGGAGGCGGAGGTTGTGGTGAGCCAAAATCGCGCCATGGCACTCCAGTGTGGACAACAAGAGTGAAACTGTCTCTTAAAAAAAAAAAAAGACAACTCCTGTCACTACTTGCCAAGCCAAGTTGCCTTATAGTGATGCTATACAGGTGAGATCTACCTAAACTCAAAGGAACTCAAGAAATATTTGAGAGTCTCATGATAACTCTTGAGTGAAAGCTTGTTTTCCAAGCATGCATGAAAGAACATTGACAGGAGAACGTATGTGACATCTTCAGTTTTCCTTTTCTATGAGATTATCTATAGCTGATATACTATCACCACCTCCATTCGATAAAGTAGCATGAAGATATCTAATTATGCAAAATAAAACATAAGAAAACTTTGGCCTGGGACATCCAGGAGCTAGATTGCAAATATGCCCTCCCACATTCTTATGTGCAGCATGCTACATTAGACTCTTCCTTCTTTTAAAATCACATTTATCTTTATTTAGCCCTTTCCAAAACTATTTTGAGGCAGTGTTCTGAAAACCTTCAAAATATTTTATTACATTGGTGATAGTTAATGATGTAATTCCTCAACAAGTTCTCAAAATAATGGTCAAAATTGATTTTAGTAGACACTTTCAATAAAAATCTAGGTATGTGGCCATCCTGGTCATTTTTCCTGGTGACTGATAGAAATTAAAGTTTGCAGGAAGAGACTGGTAGCTTATCTCTAGACTATCTTTCCTGAAAGTAAGGTTCCCCAGAGAAGCTTTTGTGAGGGGCTGGAGTTTGGAGATACACATTCTGGTGAGGACAAAGAGCTGCTGAAGAGGGAACCTAATCAATAATGTAGTACAATGAAAGACCCCCTCAATGTTGCACAGAGGCCAGCCTCAGAAAAACCTGCAGGCAGGGGTGGCTTTGGCTTTGACCCATGAAAAACTGCTCATTGAAATCCATGGGATCCATGAAGTATAGATATTCTGTGTTCAGGCTTCCAACACATCTTCTCTATTAAAGGGAATGGGGCTCCACTTGAATTCTACACCCACCCACTACTATAAATATCATTGTATTTCTTGATTAGCTAACAAAATTGTGCAACACATTCATATGGCATGCATTTTTCCTTAAATAGACCTTACAAACAATGCTCAGTATATAGCTGTGTATTGATAGATTGCCCTTGCAGCCTTTTATATTTTAAAATAATGAATAGAGATTCATTTATATGTATATCTATATATCATACATATGTAGAATAGATTCATACATAAATATAAAGTGTAATACACGTTCATTCATTTTCTATCAGCCCATATATATAAATGCAATGGCTTATGGGCTTACATCACCCTAGCATTCCTTATCTTGAGGTTTTTGTCTCAGCATTGCATCTAACTTCTATTGAGCTTCTTTCTATTCTTTTTTCTTCCCTCTCTTCTCCCTCCTTCCCCCGTCTTGTCTCTCTCTCTCTTTTTCTTTCTATTATTTTTGTGTATATCATGAGTGTGCAGAAAGGAACACCATGAGATATGACTTGGTGTCTGTAGGTTGGGGACATAGTGAGTTCAGAATACTTTTATATAATATGACCCTTGGCTAATGCTCTTGTCAAAATGTGCTGTTCTTGGTATGAGATGCATAATAAACTGGGATTCATTATTTCACTGAACTAGCAACTTTGTACACTAAAGGGGCTTTGGTGTGACCAGACTGTTGTTTAATCTTTGTGTCAGGGCCCTCTCTTCCTGGCAAAGAGCTGTATGAGCCATCATGTGTTAAATGCCTTGTGATGGGGAGGGGTTTGTTTGGAGTTTCTTGCCAGCTGGATGCATTGCAGGTGTAGACAGCTGTAATATGGAGGTGTGACCCTGAGATACTCAAAAGCTGTTTGGTTTGTTATAGCAACTGCGAGAGTTAATAGCTGAACACAAGCCTCATATAGATAAGATGAACAAAACTGGGCCACAGTTACTGGAATTGAGCCCTGGGGAAGGCTTTTCTATCCAAGAGAAGTATGTGGCAGCCGACACCCTTTACAGTCAAATTAAAGAAGATGTCAAAAAGCGAGCTGTGGCACTGGATGAAGCCATTTCTCAATCAACTCAGGTAATTGTTTACACTAGAAATAGAATTGGGTTCTTGCAGACAACAAAGCACAGAAAGACATTTTCCTGGATCTTCTGATTAAATTTTAACTAAAATTATTTCACTACATTAACTCTGAGTATTGATGTGTGTGTCCCTCAGAGGTGATGTTTGCTTGCATCCAGCCTTTATCTCCTTATTTTTCTCTGCCTGCTTATAGATATAATAAAAATAATTTTCAATGACTTAAGAAACATGCAGTTGTCGTCATTGTCCAAAAATTTAATTCAGTGTCCATCCTGAATAGAATACAATATTTGCCATTGGGAGAGATAAAGGAAAGTGTTATAATTATTAATAAAATACTCTCAAGAAGGCAATGAGAAGAAAGAATGATAGGCTAAATGAAAAGAAAAAGAATATAAAGTTGGATATTGATGGTTTTTTCTTTTCTGAAAATATCTTTTTCAAGAAGTTGAATTTTGAAATACCCAAAGATTTTCCATTTTCAAGATTTGGGTTTTATTATTAGATATGGCACGTTAGAGTAGGCCAATGTCACAGTCCTGTGTGATTATTCCTTAACTTTGAGATAGTATAGAACAAAGTTCATTCATAGATACGAATGAACAAGTTTTTATAGCTTTAATTGTCTATGGTTGAAAATAAAAATTTTAAATTCTCTCATGTGTCTGATTATGTGTTTAACCATGAAGTAAATAAAAACTTCTGAAACTTGTAACTTCTGTTATATCAGAAATTAAAACATTGGGGAGGTTTTTTTGTTAAAATTTTTTTTAACATTTTTCAGTTCAGGAAATGCATAACTTAAGAATTCCCTGGAATCTAATCAAAACTTTCCATGAATTTCACATTAAATAATATAACATTTCAGGATGCCAAAATAGTTCATTAAAAATGAAGGAAACAATCCATTGTAATAGACAAATACTCAGCTTATTGAACTTGATTTTTAATATTAATTTGAATTATGATAACAGGATGAAGCAACAGGTAAAGAGATGCTGCTGCCATGTCATCCTGGTCCAATTGCATATTAACATATACCATTTCTTAATGTATACACTCAACTATTCACAGGAAACTAAGTCTATTGTACATAGGTCATGTGACACAGAGGTGCATATACGTCATAATTTTAGGCATGTCTTCACGTACCAGGTGGATGTAACTTTTGAATGGGTCTGTTGATAAAGAGGCTAAGATTTATTCTTAATTTTGCCACTAAATTGTAAAAAATGTTTCTTCATTTAAATTTCACACTTGGTATTACAGATCTTTTTTCCGTAAAAGATCTCTTTGTTTTGCCCCTAGTTCCATGACAAGATAGATCAGATTCTTGAGAGCCTGGAACGCATTGTGGAACGTCTGAGGCAGCCGCCGTCTATCTCTGCAGAGGTCGAGAAGATCAAGGAACAGATCAGTGAAAATAAGAATGTGTCAGTAGACATGGAAAAGCTACAGCCATTGTATGAAACTCTTAAACAGAGGGGAGAGGAAATGATCGCTAGATCTGGGGGGACTGATAAAGACATATCTGCCAAAGGTAATACTTTTGGAATAGGGAAACAAACTTTATTTTTAAAGCATTCTAAATGTTTATGCTGTTTACTCAACATCCAATTGGATAACAAAATGCTGCATTTTAAAAAAGGTATTACAAATGTGATGTGTTTAGGGCTGAAGGGCTGTGTATGCAAATCCCTTGTTAATGTCTTCCTGTGTTTGTGAAATTAATCAGTTGACTACAAAGCATGCCATTATACATAGACCATGTATAAATACCATATGTTCAAAGACCATGTGTTCTCAGGCCTTTTAAATCAGTAGGTTAAAGTGTATTGCTAATAAAGCCATATCTGGGTTTTTTTCCTCATTACTGACTTTACTACCTTACATAGCATGCATCCTGCGTCACATAGCCACAAAAATGAGAACCACTACCACAGTCAGCCATCTTTGAGATATGAGCTGAGGGTCAAAAGGGAGAGCATGTGTGTATTGGAAATTCACAATGAGAGTACTCTAGAAGCAAGCTCAAAATACATACCATACATTGTTACATTCCTGGGACTGAACAGACAATTTTACTATTGATTTGGAGAGCATAAAAGTGTACCTAGGTGATTATTTCACTCCCTTTGGGATTAAGGACAGCCTTAATGAACTTGAAACTTGATAAATTTGGTTCCACTCTGAGCTCACTTTTGTCAGGAAGAACCTTGGTTTGGTAAGAGTAGGAGACCCAGAGATACTGTGTTATTTGGCATAGACTCTTGGACCTACTGATACCCACTGGACTGGAATCATTCAAAACTTGGTCCAGTTTTAGATATTTAGCAAATTGGATCACTACTTTCTGTGTGAACTGTAACATTCTGCTTTGTTGGTTCCATGGGGCTAACCTATCGCCTTGTGGATGTTGTTTTGCTTCATAGCTGTTCAGGATAAACTTGACCAAATGGTTTTCATTTGGGAGAACATACACACACTGGTGGAAGAAAGGGAAGCCAAACTACTGGATGTGATGGAGCTAGCAGAAAAGTTCTGGTGTGATCACATGTCATTGGTAGTTACCATTAAAGATACTCAGGATTTCATCCGGGACCTGGAAGATCCTGGAATTGATCCTTCAGTAGTAAAACAACAGCAAGAAGCAGCAGAGGTAAGCAGAAAATCTCATTTAAAGTTAGAAAAATAAGTTGTGGCATGATGAAATCCAGATTCCTTGGGTAAATATTAGGCGTTACTCTGTTAACATTTATATTTGGTTCTGAAAATGGACTGTACAATGATCCAGTAGGAGATACAGTATACCCACAAATTTCGCTTTGAGATTGTATGTTTAAAACGACTTCTCAGGCCATGCATGGTGTCTCATGCCTGTAATCCCAGAACTTTGGGAGGCCAAGGTGGGAGGATCACTTGAGGCCAGGAGTTCGAGACCAGCTTGGCCAACATGACGAAACCCTGTCTCTACTACAAGTACAAAAATTAGTCAAGCATGGTGGTGCACACCTGTAGTACCAGCTACTTGGAGGGTGAAGCATGAGAATCACTTGAACCTGGGAGGTGGAGATTGCAGTGAGCCAAGATTGTGCCACTGTACTCTAGCCTGAGCAGCAGAGTGAGACCCTGTCTCAGAAAACAAACCAAAAAAACCCACAAAACAACAACAACAAAAAATTTCTCTTTATCCTCACTGTTCTTGCCTTATTTCAGGGCCTCATTATCTCTCTCTTTCTTTTTAGCTTCCACAGTAATCCAAAGTGCAGACTGTCTTTCCTTGCTAGGCCTCCCACCTTGCCGCCAGTCTTCCCTCTAGATCTGCTCTTACTCTGTTGCTACCTAAACCCACTCAGAGGCATCCCCTGCCTTCTGGATAAAGCTCAAACTCCCTAGAGCAGGGCATGCAGCTTTTTGCATCCCAGCCTAGCTCGTGCCTATGTTTCCAAAATTATGTTTTTCTCTTGCTCCTTTACCGAGCTCCCTCCCTGCTATTGATTAGAAAGGACGTTTCCCAAAACAAACTGTTTTGCTCTTTCTAGTGTCAGTGCCTTTGCACATCTTATTTCCTCACTCTAGAATGTCCTTCCTGCCACTCTTCTGGCAAAGCCCACTCAAGGTTCAGTTGGATTATTACCCCCATATAAAACCTTTTCTTGTATACTTAGCAGAGTTAGTGCACCTGTGTTCCCATAAGGCTTTCTTCATGCAAAGGACTCTGCACATAGTATGATTTACTGTTGCTTATGCCTCTGTCTTTCCTGGTATTCTCTTGAGGGGAATAGCCATATCTGTTTTTCTTTGTATCCCCAGTGCCTGGTTTAGGGCTTGGTTTATGGTTATTCAGTGTTTGTTGAATGAATGAATATATTTAACCAAGAAGATGAAAGCAAAAGTAGGATACTGCCTTTCTGTTGTGATATTTTTGTACCTTACAGGTCCTACCTGGTCCTACCTAGGGTAATGACATAAAATGTAAATCCATAACTAGATTATTCTGTATCTACTAACAGATACATTAATTTGTATAGTTTTTGAATTCATATTTTACTTGTCTATTTTAATGTATATTGTTTGGAAACCAAAATGTCTTTCTAAGCCTTGCAGTATTGTTGATATTTAAAAAAATTTGTTTTGGTATTTGTTAAGGTATTTCTTATTTATCATTTCTTAAATATTATCTTTATAATAAACATTTGGCATTTGTTACTAAAAGGGTGCTGTTTTTCTTTTAAAATATTTTTTATTGAAAAAATTTATTGCAGAAACTTAGAAAACAGAAAGAAAGAAAGAAAAATGATTAGAATGCCACCTTCTAGAAATAACTACCATTGATATTGTTGTGTACTTTTTAAAGTTTTGATGTGGTTTTGCTTAAAATTCAAAGGCTGTCATTTTCTTATTCTAGGCCATAAGGGAAGAAATAGACGGACTACAGGAGGAGCTGGATATAGTTATTAACCTGGGTTCTGAACTCATTGCGGCATGTGGGGAGCCTGATAAACCCATTGTCAAGAAGAGTATAGATGAGGTACAACTGGCTTACTTATGAGAATGGCTTTTAAAAAGTTTTTAGTTAACTAAAATATTTTGTTAAAAGTAGTTGAAAATTTAAAATATGGCACTAAAAGAGTTCTAACATACATCTTGTAGTTAAATTCAGCATGGGATTCTCTAAATAAAGCTTGGAAAGACCGGATTGACAAACTTGAGGAGGCAATGCAGGCTGCCGTTCAGTACCAGGATGGACTGCAGGTAAGGGGATTACAGTGTATGTGCTGGTCTTAGCTGGAAGGAGGAATCATAATAATTGATGTGTACATATTGGCACCACCTCAAGACCTGCCAGTGCATATGCAATTGTGGGCAAATTATTCCTGCAGTTGCCTGTGTATCTCAGTTCATGTTTTGTCTTTTAGAAGATATTTCTGACCTTTCGGATATGTGTAGATTTATATACACATCTAAACACATTTCTGTATACACATTCAGTGAAATTTACTTTGAAAAGAAATATTTTGATTTTTTTAAGTGAAAGTAAATGTTCCCACACAGTATTTTTTATAAATGGCTCAGCACCAGACAGTGAAATGGAACTAAATCTGAATTCTGTTCTGAGTGGAATAAGATGAAAGGAGTAAACACTATCTAAAAATATCACCAAGTTTAACTAAAGTCAGAAGTAAAGAAATTTGATTTGAAGCCAATGTTCTCCATGTACAAAAATAGATTTCTGTTAGGTCATAATCTGGTGTGTAAAAACTGTTTTCTTCTTTTCCATGTATATAATTTGTTTTAATAGTTGTTTTTCACTTAAGGGTTTTCATTCAGTTCATTAACCATTTATAAGGTTTTTTTTTGTATTAAAAATTCTCCTGTCAGTTGAGGCCAACTCGAGTATATTTCTCTCCCTACCTCCCTTAACCTTGCTCCATTTTCTAACAGGCTGGCAGGAGTTTAATCTTTCATCCTTCTTACCATATGGAAAAAGCTTAAGTATTTCCATAACACTAAGTGAATATTATTTTTAAAGCCCAGATGAGAACATCTTTTCCTTTTTCATTATGCCATTCCATTTCTATATTTGTAAAAATAAATGTCACAGCTAGGCTTTATGCCAGCTGAGAAGTTTTTTGAACTTTGGAAATATATGAAAAATTTTACTACAAATAACATAACACTTTATTTTAATTCTCCCTCCCTCTTCTTTTTTTTTTTTTTTTTTTCTTTTGTAACCTAAGTGATAATTTACTGTTAGGTATCAATGACAAATAACTAATTCGGGTTCCAGCCTGTCTGTGAGGCTAGGTCATTGTTAAATCATTGAGTTGTGATCTCTTCCATGGCTAGAGGTGGCAATGCCACCACATGCAACCATTTAGGTGGTCACGGGCGAGCCACCATGGCTTGTACAGTCTCATTATCACTACCAGAAAAACAAGGCCTGTCGTAAGTCCTGTCGATCATGTATTAGTAGCATCACCTGTGCTAGCAAAGGGCAGATTGATTTATTAAGTAGCTACAGCGCAGCTAGCTGTAGCTAGATGTCAAAGCTTTGGAAGCTAATTTTCAAGATTTGATTGTAAAGTAAAATATGTTTTATTTCCCGGGTTGCTGCTTAAGTACTTAGTCAGGGTTGGCTAATGATAATTTAAAAATCCAAGATTTATCGCCCTCCTATATGGTTTGGAAACTTCTTTAAAATGCAAAATATCCCAGTGCTTTGGGAGGCTGTGGTGGGAGGATCACTTGAGGCCAGGAATTCAAGACCAGCCTGGGAAAGATAGCAAGGTCCTGTCAAAACAAGAGCTGAAGTACCCCATCTACAATTTTTTTTTTTTTTTTAATTAGCCAGCCGTGGTGGCACGTGTCTATAGTCTGAGCTATTTGGAAGACTGACGTAGGAGGATTGCTTGAGCACAGGAGTTTGAGGTTACAGTGAGCTATTTGATTGTGCCACTGCACTCCAGCTTGGGTGACAGAGTAATGGCAAAATGCTTTTATTTTGTATTCATTACCTAAAAAAAAGTGACTTGAACCTTTTTAGACTATTTTTATTACCTAAATAAATAAGAAAAACAGGAGAGTCTAAAATCTGTTATAATTCAGAATAATGATCTTAATACTAATAATTTATATGTGCAGGATTTTAATGCTAATCTAAATAAGATTTAAGGGTTTGAGTCAAATATTTTGCTTAAGTTCTAAATAGTAATTTCTTATTTGAATGAACAAATAGATTTGAATCTTTTTCTTTCATTGTATTTATACAGGCTGCCTTTTAAGCACACATAGTGAAGAATTTTATGTGATTGGATTTCTATAAATGTTTTCAAATGAATTTTTTTAGAAGGCCATAATATTTCAAGAATCTGTTGAATGAACAATTTCTTTTGCAAACTTGTATGTATCTATTTCATATTTGGGACAACCATTTTGGTATATTACTGCTTTTACTAATTTAGGTGAACCATGTTAATTTTTTATAAAATAGTCTCATTCCATAATATCTTTTAGATTTATGATTGTATTTTTCTGTAGTACTTGAAATACTGTAGCAATTTCAAATGTACTGTTGTAACAACACATGGACTATTGTGTCTTTCAGGCAGTATTTGACTGGGTGGATATTGCAGGTGGTAAATTAGCTTCAATGTCTCCAATCGGAACAGATCTTGAAACTGTCAAGCAGCAGATTGAAGAGCTAAAGGTATGTATGGGGGCTAATTTATCGAAGACTTCCTTGCAATTTTAAGTTCTTGATTCACGTAGTTTTTTACATAAATTTATTTTACCCAATGTAAGTATGACAGCTTAATTATAAAGCTAGTTTAATGTACATAGTGCTTTCACATACTAAGCAATATATAAGTGCTCTTTAAATAAAGGAAAGAAAATACTATTAATAGTTTTCTTTTTATAGTAAATTAATAACTGTTCATATAGAAAAATCAGAAAATACAAATAAAAAAGAGAAAAACAAATTATTTGAAGTCACCCAAAATGTTATGTACCTAGAGATTACCTTTCTTAGATTTGATTTATAGCTTTTCTGATATCTTCATGTTAGGGACATGGGGGGGGGTGTGTGTGTGTGTGTGTTTGTGTAGGTAGAGAGAGAGATGTATTTAGATAATACTGTAAGGATTTTTATAACTTGTTTAACTTGTTTATTCAGTAGTATATTGTTGTCACTACACTAGTATATTGTCAATACACCACAGCATCATTTTTCTTTTCCTGATACATATTTTTAATTTTAATTTTTAATTTTCGTGGGTACATAGTAGGGGTATATATCTATGGATTACATGACATATTTTGATACAGGCATGTAATATATAATAGCTACATCAGGGAAAATGGAGGTATCCATTACCTCAAACATTTATCCTTTTTGTTACAAATAATCCAATTATACTCTTTTAGTTAAATTGTACAAAAATTATTTTTGACTCTAGTGACCTTGGCTTGCTAGCAAATACAAGCTCTTATTCATTCTTTCTATATTTTATACCCATTAACCGAACATTTTTATTTTCTTTAGAGTGTTCTGAGTAATTCATTTAGTCTAACAGGTTAAAAACACATTCATGATATAAGAATGTTTCCCAAAATGATTGATTTGTAAATGTTTGTTGTTTTCCATAGCTGTTCTCTGTAATTTTTGCTTTTGTAATTCTTGATCTGCAGATGTGAAAATGGCAGAACTGTTTCCTCTTTGAATGCCTCTATACCAATAATCATTTATCAAAATGGGATCAGCTATTTCCCTCCCAATTTTAGCTCTCCATATACAGAGACATCACACTGTTTGCAATGAACTTTGCTAGATTTTATGTGAAATATTATCTGGCTTTAAAATTGTAGCATTTTCACATCTAAGTGTGACATAGAATATTTCATTTAGAAACAAATTTTCTTTTTGAGAATTTTATCGTTATCACTAAATTGAGACTTTTTTTACTTTAATCTGCTCATGTGGCAAACGTGTGATATACTTTATGTACAGTTATGGGTGTGGATAATTTATTTTGGATATTTACATATAGCTCAGTGGTTTTTATACAGCAGCCTGGTTAGAAGTGCTCACTCTGAAATCAGGTTATCTTTTTTTTTTTTTTTTTTTTTTTTGAGACGGAGTCTCGCTCTGTCGCCCAGGCTGGAGTGCAGTGGCCGGATCTCAGCTCACTGCAAGCTCCACCTCCCGGGTTCACGCCATTCTCCTGCCTCAGCCTCCCGAGTAGCTGGGACTACAGGTGCCCGCCACCATGCCCGGCTAGTTTTTTGTATTTTTTTAGTAGAGACGGGGTTTCACCGTGTTAGCCAGGATGGTCTCGATCTCCTGACCTCGTGATCCACCCATCTCGGCCTCCCAAAGTGCTGGGATTACAGGCGTGAGCCACCGCGCCCGGCGAAATCAGGTTATCTGAGTTTAGGTCCTAGTTCATCCACTTAGGGCATATGAACTCAGTGGTCTTCCTGGTCTTACTAACTGGTCTTACTCCTATGTCTTTAGCTTACATTAAGGATAAAATTATTTCCTCAATAAGTTGGTTGAAAGTAACTTGAACATACCAAGTGCACACTATACCTTTGTTATTATTTTCAAATTATTATTCATGTATTTTTGAACAAAGTTAAGGGACTGCTAGCCATGAATTTTTTACTATTACATATTAAAAGAAATATTTTATGAAAAGACAGTTACCTATTACAAGCAACTGTTTGCTAACCTGTTAGTTGGCAAAGCCAAGATTATTAACTATGTCAGTGACTTAGAAAGTAGGAGAGAGAATAACATTCTATGTCAGCAGTGGGTGAGGCATAGGAATATTAATGAACACAGTACAGCTACAGAAAACATAAAATTATCAGGGATATAGGATGTGTGTAAAAGAGCAGGAAATACTAATTTGAGTTTCTTAAGACTTTTTTGGCTTTCATATGTGTCAACATATATTTCATTTTCTTTCTATAATTTTAAAACTCATTTTTCAAATACATATAAGATATTGGAATAAGTGGAATAAGTTCAGCCTTGAAATTTAATTTTTTGTTGTAGAGAATAAAATGAAATGAAATGTCAAAATTATAAATAGAAACATCTATCTATCCAAAAATACTGAATAAAGAGAAAATATTTTCCTTATTTTTTCATTTACAATTCTTCCATTGGTAAGCCTCATGTGAGATTTTAACTTTGCGTCACCTCTCCTCAGTAAGTAGTGTGAATTAGAATAATGATATAACCAATAGATTTTTTTTGTTTGGAGTTAATGATTTTTAATAATATTTTCTTTGTATATCTCTTTTAAAATAGCAATTTAAGTCTGAGGCCTATCAACAGCAGATAGAAATGGAAAGACTGAACCATCAAGCAGAGCTTTTGCTAAAGAAAGTGACAGAAGAGAGTGACAAACACACTGTTCAAGACCCATTAATGGAACTGAAATTGATATGGGATAGCCTGGAGGAGAGAATCATCAACAGACAGGTAAATACCAAGACTTTTCTTAAGAAATTATACATTTTCAATTTCAGATATTAATGTAAAATACTTATTAAAGATAAAATTAGAATTCTTTCTGATTCTCATATATTCTTTTATAACCACGAGGAGCGTCAAACTTAAAACAGAAGGATATGATGATTAGGCTTCATTGGATGTGTTTATGGGCTTATGCAGCATGAAACAATTATTTTTTGCCCTTGTTTTATGGACATGTCATTCATAATATCAAATTTACAAATGGATTTTCTTCCCACTTTTTCTGTAGCATAAACTGGAGGGTGCTCTATTAGCATTGGGTCAGTTCCAGCATGCCCTGGATGAGCTCCTGACGTGGCTGACACACACCGAGGGCTTGTTAAGTGAGCAGAAACCTGTTGGAGGAGACCCTAAAGCCATTGAAATTGAACTTGCCAAGCATCATGTATGTAGCTGTTAATGTATATTATGTTTCTTCTCTGTCCATTTCTAGTGTCATCAGATTTCTCAGATATATTTCTTCTTTATTCATGTTTCAAGTTTATGGTCTTGACACAAGTTCATATTTGACATTTATAACTAAAGGTTAACTACTTAAAACTTAAAACATTATAGTCAAAATATTTTTCTTAAAATATCGTGGTCAAAATATTTTTCTCATTCAAGGCAATTATTATCTAACAAAATAAGGATGAGCAATTTGTGCTAAAGTTTATTAGGGCTGCATGGCAAACACTAAAGATTTAAATCCTTAATTATACCTGTCATTGTGATAATGTCACCTATTTTTTAAAGTTGTTAGAGATAGCCTAAAATATCATAGGCTGAAAATGTCTTACTGCAGGTTTTATGTATATTTTCACTCTGGGCATCTGTATTTCCATGTCTCTTTCATTTGTAGCTTGTCATTTCTGACGTATTTTTATCGGTCTGTACATCTCTTATTATGTTGGGGCTTATCCCTTTGTCTCCATGTCACTCTTGTCTTTGACTGGATTTTTGTATCTTACTCCTTTTCTTTCTGAATTTTTAAAAATATTTATTATGTTTTAAAAAGTTATGTGTCCTGCACTTGATTTAAAGCTAGTAAGTTGAAAAATTTTTGTTTTAAGAGATACATGCAAAGCAATCTTGTATTGTTGTCACCTTTGTGACACTTCTTAATAGATCATTCCCTATCCCTTCAGTCACTAGACTTAATGAATAAAAGATTATGCACAGTAGAGTTTATCCTGGCATTCAACAATCTTTCATAGACTTTGACATTCACATTAATAGTGGTATCTTCAGAGTCCTAAATCCTAAACTAAAATACATTTTCCTTGATTATCAAATAGGAAATGTCTGATTATTTTACATATTGATTAACATTTTTTTAAAAAGGTGAGTTTTTAGCACTTTATGCTGTACAGTTTTTGACTCTTCTTGCTTTTGTTCTCCTTCTTTCATACTTCCCCACAGTAATTGTTTCCTAGTTTAAAATTTTATTTTTCTCTTACCTTGTCTGTCTACGTTGGTAGTCATTGCCCAGCCATATTTGATTAAACAATTTGGATTTATTTTGCATACTTAATGTTGACATAGAAACTTGTTTCATTATTTAATGTCTACATTATACGTTTGCTTAGAGCCATAATGACTGGTGAGACCAACTGCCTAGCAACACAATATGTTTATTCTCATGGTGTGAGTTTATAGCTGCATTTATATTTTTGTAAACCTATTGATTGTCTTAAAACTAACATACATCAGGATAGGAACTTTGTATAATAAGGTAGAGGTGGAAAAATGAGGCACTCTGATCCAGTTATTTTGGTGCGGGATAGGTGAAGACATCTTACTTCTGTTTGTCTCTTTTTAAGTACTTTGAAATGGCTCCTTCTCTCTTTCCTTTTCTCTTCTCTTTGCATTCCTCAAAGATCAAAATTAGAGGACATAAAATTCCCAGCAGAATTACTGGAGGAAGGGACGAATGTTTCTGTTCCTTTCCTGCTTTCTTCTCCTACTCCTAAGCTCTGACTTTGTAGCGGGACTCAGACCATTCAGAAGAATGAATTTTATAGAATTCTCTTTTATATTTTGGCCATGAAAACATTTAACTTTTTGATTTTCAGAGTGATCCTACTCTTAACATACCAAAGTGAATGCTTTCTATAAAGATAACTTCTTACTCAGTTGGTTTTATAGCCTTTGAAAAACACTCCCTAACCAGATGCCTCAGAATATGAATGAAAACAGTCAGAGAAACAGTGATATCAGAGGGTTACTGATATTCACTGAAAATCCTCCCTGGTCTGAATTTCCTTCCAGATGTGTGATGTGTTACATAGGATGGGAGATGATGTTCTTTTTCTTTACTATTGCCAACCCTGAGTCAATGAGTACAGGGTAGGATCAACTTTTACCAACATTAGAGGGAGGTTTCTTCTGCTTTCCAAAAATGTAAGCGTAGCCTCCTTGAAAGGAAACTATTAATATTACTGAGGCTATACTCATTCAGTAAAAGAAATTGATTTTTTTTAACCTTAGGGTTGCTGTCTGCAACCTAAGTTCCCCCATTTTACTGCATTTAAACATTATTAACCTATTCATATATTTCCACTGTATAAAAGGAAGGCATTATTTGCTGTGTTCTGTTGTAAGCATTTCATTATATATGTTTTCTACTTAAAGAACAACTGAATTTTGGAATGCTGGGTTTAAGTATCTCTGATATAGAGTGTTAGTTTTAGGGCCTTCCAATATTTCAACTTAGCAGTCAATTCCAGTACCCCTCCAATGAGAGAAGGTGAAGGAATATTCTAGAATTTTTTTTTTCTCTTTCAGAATGCTAATTGTGAAATATGGTACTGTATACCTTAGACATGATAATTTTATATTTGAAAGTGAATATGTAGGAGTAAAAATATATTTTGGTTACTTGACATGAGAATTAAACTAAAATTAGCTTGAACCAAGTGAGAAATCTTAGAACCTTTTAATTATAATCTCTAGATATTTAGTGTCATCAATTGCCAAGTCATTCTAGTGGGAATAACTAGCAATGTGTTCTTGCCCAGTCATTTCAGGGGACATTGATAGAATAAAGGTATATCCAGGAATGTTGCAAATTTAAGGGAAAGGAAGTTCATCATTTAAAAACTTAATATTAGCCAGCCAGGGCAACATAGTGAGACCACATCTATATAAAAAACAAAACAAAATTAGCCAACCATGCTAGTGTGTGCCTGTAGTCCCAGCTACTTGAGAAGCTGAAATGGGACAATTGCTTGAGCCCAAGTGTTGAGGTTGCAGTGAGCTATAATAGAACCACTGTACTGAAGTCTGGGCGACAGAGTAAGACTCTATCTCTTAAAAAAAATTAAAATTCTACACATACAATGTTTTTTTCTTCCGGATGTTTCATAACCAGAAAGGAAAACAGTTGCATTAAAGCTGATATTAACATGTTACAAACTAGCAAACATGGTGTTATCTTAATATTTTCAGGTGCTCCAAAATGATGTATTAGCCCATCAGTCCACAGTGGAAGCCGTTAATAAAGCAGGAAATGATCTAATTGAATCAAGTGCAGGAGAAGAAGCAAGCAACCTTCAGAACAAGCTACAGGTTTTAAATCAACGCTGGCAAAATGTTTTGGAAAAAACTGAACAAAGGAAGCAGCAGCTGGATGGTGCCTTGCGCCAGGTGAGTAAGATAATAAATTGTGAAAGTTTCTATAGCATTCAAGACCAAAATAGCATGGAATTCTTTTATTAGTTCACAGAGTCCTGTTTAATTTTTATACCTTAAGAAGAGGAGTAAAAATAAGTGAAATAAAGAACAAAACAGCAGAAGAGAACACAGCTTTCTAGTTCTTAGCATAATACTCTTATCTACTAGAGCTCTCCTCATGAAGAAAGGCAACTCTAATGGTACCTGGCTGTTCTTAAGAATGCATAGAGAGGCTTAGCAGGCTGGGATTGTTTGAAGCTTATTTCCTGTTTGAAACTGACAGCGTTTATGGCCCCAACTTAAAACTCCCTATTACTTCAGGCCAAAGGGTTCCATGGCGAAATCGAGGATTTGCAGCAGTGGCTGACTGACACGGAACGTCATCTGTTGGCATCTAAACCGCTGGGAGGTTTACCGGAAACAGCCAGGGAGCAGCTTAATGTCCATATGGTAAGCAACGTATTTCCTACAGCTTTAGCCTCAGAATAACAAACTGACCATTTTATATGGGCCGTGGCAATACATAAATTATGGGAGAAGGCTTTAAAGGATATAGAGTTTATGGCAGAAATCACTGTATACATGCTAGAAACACACCATTTATTGATTAAAAATTTAAAGTCAGAACCTATTATTTATTTCAAAGGTTAGTGTGCCAGTATATGAAAAGAGGTTTTAGAATTCTAGACACTTTTTAGACACAAACCCTCCCCCACAAAATGATAAGCTTGTATGGGTAGTACTATAGCACAGTGTAAATTATAAAATTATTGTGCATTGAAATGTAAACAAAAACCTCTAAAATAATCAGAATGACTTAAAATTATTGTTATAAGCATGATTGTCTCATTTGGTTTCATGGAAGGTTGGAAAATATACTCTTGTTCTGTTAAAAAAAGAAAACTTCCTTGTTTGTTTTAATGGTGATAGAGCTTTATCTTCCACTTCATACTTAAAACAAATACAGACACGAAAAGGAGGCTTCTGTTTTAATTGTCCAGTCTGGAGTATTGTACCTGTGGGCTGTTCCTACCTAGGTCATGTGACACAGTTGGCTCCTAAGAAGGATGAGGAAAAAATGATGAGACTTGAAATACGGGCTTTCTTTCATAGAAATAGGGACTGACAAATTAAATTTAGGCTACGTTGGATTTATTGACATTTTAAATTCATATTCCATTATCATTCAGCACTAGAAGTTCTGAGAGGAAACAGTGTTTCAGATTTTGAAAGAGTCCCCTAATTTTTACATTTGTGAATTTACATCAGAAATTTTTAAAAATATTCGAATACTGATGATTTTTATCTTGGGAGATAAAAATAGAAGTACTTAGAAATTTGGCAAAAGAAATGAATCGGTGTACATCAATATATACACTCTTTAATAGAGATATCATATTGTTGTAAGATCTTAATAAAACTGCACTTATTTGGAAATAATTTTGAATTTGGTGATTTGAAAAGCAGGTAACCATCTTGTAGATGTTGTAAAGAAATAAAACAGACTATGACAGTAGGTAGCATCACATTTATTTCACAATCACTATCAGTAGTGTAAGTCCTACTAATTTGGTATACAATTTTCTAGAAATATTTATGGTATACTTATTGTTTTTGAAAGTTATGTGTGTGGTTTTTGTTGTTGTCGTTACTGGTTTTTAGTACCACAGGAGACCTATTTGTTTCACTGGAAAAGTAACAGACTAAATAACTTGTAAGTGCTTATCTTCCTTTTTAAAAAAACCTGAGAGACTTCCAGATAGCTCCTTACTTTCCTGGAAAGTACTTGCACAGCTTTGACAGTGTCCATTAATTATAAGTTTAATGAACTCATGAACAGATAGATGCTTGGGATTATTTTCTAATAATATAAATATTTTTTAAAAATGTTAATTTAGAAGAGTATAAGAACTTGAAAGCAAAGAACTTATCTTTAGAATACTTTACTTTTAGAAAAATATTCCATTTCAGCTAACTGAGTTTGGGTGGGGTATTTACAATGAATCTTTTGTAACCCTATATAATAAATTATAGAAATCTGTTTAAATAAGTTTAAATTTGTGATTTAAAGCGTTCTAAAGAGTTGTTGATATTTGTAATATCATTTCAATAAAGTTCTTTTGATTTTGTTATGCTAGAAATGAAGAAAAGTACAAAATTTACAATATTAGTTTCCTGAGTTTTTAGCTATATCTGAAAGTTTTGCTTTAGGATTTAAAGGTTTTAGTAGGTGATATTGTAAATACATTTAGATAGGGCTTTTTTTTAAAACTTAATAAATAAATTTTTGAGGTGATGAAAATGTTCTGGAGTTAGTGGTAATCACAAAACCTCGTGAATATAATTTTAAAAACAGTGAATTGTATACTTATAATAGTGAATTTTATATTGTATGAGTTATATCTCAGGTTTTAAAACTTATAAAGTTAGAAATGTAAGTGAGAAATACATAATCTTCCAGTGAGAACTATGATTTAACCCACATTATAGTTAAATAAGTAGAATAGAACTAGTCTTAATGTTTTAAATAAGTAACTGTTGTTTTGTTGGTCTTAAAGTTTGAATTTGTTTAAGCAATATTTTATGTCCTGTATAGAAGATACACTCAACATTCTAGTTAGAAGCTTTAGAAATGTTCTAAATGAGAATAATATTCATAGTACCAGAAGTTTGATTCTTATAATTCCAGAGCCTGAATAATCAACTTAAATATATTACTGTGCTGGTTATTTACTTTCCAAAACATGTCCATTGCATGTTTTCTGAGTGCAGAATTAAATTGTACCAATGAAATACTACATTCATTGTATCATAGTACAAGGAGGGACCTATGGGAGCCTCTCATTTTACAGAGGAAGGAATTGAGGCTCAGAGAGGTGAAATTACTTGCCCAAAGTCACAGAACTAACTAATTACTGTGCAGTGAAAGCTTTCTTGACAACATTTAAACTACTGCTTCAAATCTTAGTATGCCAGAATGGGCTGATAAAGATAACACCATTTTTGAGATTTCTCAGTAGACAGGGTATGACTGTAGGTTTAGTTGTTGTTTCAATGTAGTGAAAAATGTAAATGTGTCAGGGTTGCTCTGAGAGAGCAAACAGAGATGAATATATGATGAGGGGCTTGGGACTAATGACCTAGAAAAATAGAACTCTTAAATTTTACTTTCTTAAAGTGATATAACTTGAGGGTATCCCAATTTAGGAAGTCTGTGCCGCCTTTGAAGCTAAAGAAGAAACATATAAGAGTCTGATGCAGAAAGGCCAGCAGATGCTTGCAAGATGCCCAAAATCTGCAGAGACAAATATTGACCAAGACATAAATAACTTGAAAGAAAAATGGGAATCGGTGGAAACCAAACTCAATGAAAGGAAAGTATGTACTTTGATTAATATAATGGAATCAGTGTTTTAGTTTTTCCATTGCTTGGACATTGCCTTATTTCTGAGTAGAGCTATCAGCAGTAGAACTTTCAGTGATTCATGTTTAAACATTTTTTTTGTATATATTCGGATATTTCATGGGGTTAGTTGAAAATAATATTCTAGTTTAACATGAGAACAGATTTAAAGGGGGATATATTCAAAAACAAAGATATAGATCGAATGTTACTAAGGTATATTTTTAAATGTTAAGAACTACTCAAATTCTGGACCATTAAATAATTAATTCTATTTTAGTCTAATTTGTTTAATCTAATTAAACAAAAAGCTGTACGTATATGGGGGAGGGAGGGAGGGAAAGCAAGAGAGTGAGATGATTGTGTATATTCTTTTAAGTACTTACATTTAAAATTTAAGTACTTACATTTTAATCCATGAGAATGGATTAAAATGTATATTAAATTATGAATATGTTTTTGTTACTTTTTTAAAACCACAAAAATGACAATCTAAGGAATCTCAATATTGCTATTCAATGCTATGAAAAAAACAATAGGCTAGAAATATGAGATTATATGCCATCACTGATGGAGCATAAAGTATATTTCATAATGTTTTGAGCCCCCAAATTAATTATATAAATATCAACTTTTCTTTTTATAGATTGTAGTTGTGTTCTTTGGTTAGTTTCCAAAAAACATGCTTTAGTGTATATTAAATTTTTTCTAGTTACAGTAAGATGCTGCTTACTAGGCTTAAAGGGTTTTGGTTTGCCAGTATTTTAGTGAGGCACATTACGTTTATAAGATATTTAGTTAATATATTAATAGATATGCATAAAGTGAGGATAGGAGAGGAATCTGCCAGAGAATGTTTAAACTGAAACAAACAAAATAACCAAGGCCCTTGAACATCACATACTAAACAATCTGTTCTTGCAGACTAAACTGGAAGAGGCTCTCAACTTGGCAATGGAGTTCCACAATTCTCTCCAAGACTTCATCAACTGGCTTACTCAGGCTGAACAGACCCTAAATGTAGCTTCTCGGCCAAGTCTTATTTTGGATACTGTCTTATTTCAAATTGATGAACACAAGGTATGTAGTGAGTCAAATAGATAGGATTCTCCTTTCAGACACCAGGCCTTTTTTTTTTTTTTTTTTTTTTCCCGAGACTGAGTCTCACTGTAGTGGTGCAATCTTGTCTCACTGCATCCTCTGCCTCCCGGTTCAAGCGATTCTTGTGCCTCAGCCTCCCCACAGGTAGCTGGGACTGCAGGCGCCCACCACCATGCCTGGCTAATTTTTGTATTTTTAGTAGAGATGAGATTTCACCATGTTTGCCAGGCTGGTCTTGAACTCCTGACCTCAAGTGATCCTCCCGCCTCAGCCTCCAAAAGTGCTGATCTCAGGCATGAGCCACTGTACCTGGCTGACAGCAGGCCTTTTTAAACTCAAAAGAATGCATTTGGTATTTTGAAAGCTTTTGTTTGGCCTTTAAAACAATTTCAGGTTTATGACACCAGAAGCATTTTTAATACTGATCTGATTTTCATTTGTTTGTACTTACGTCCTTTTTTTCTGGGAAAGGTTTTTGCCAATGAAGTAAATTCTCATCGTGAGCAGATAATAGAACTGGACAAAACTGGAACCCACCTAAAATATTTTAGTCAGAAACAAGATGTTGTTCTAATCAAGAATCTACTTATCAGTGTACAAAGTCGATGGGAAAAAGTGGTTCAGCGGTTGGTAGAGAGAGGAAGATCTTTGGATGATGCAAGGAAGAGAGCCAAGCAGGTAATAATCCTTTAGAAAAATTCTTCTAAACTTGTCAATAAATCACTTCTAGCTGTTGAAATATATGTTATGGATGTACTTTTATCGCAGGCTGTATTAGGCATAACAATCATGGCATGGTGCCATGGTGGTTCTTTCCTGAGAGGTCTGTGGCCTCAATTTGGATGCTGACATCACTTTTTGACCTGGCAGCAACTTCAGCCCCTGGGGACTAATCTTAAGAAGACTGATTACAGCTTGACTTTATAGACAGGCTATTATCATTGAGGCCCAGAAAGAAGCTCAGAATTTTTTTTTATTGGATTTGTTTTCTTTTTCTTTGTCCTTTTGACCTCCGTTCTCATAATCAGAGTGAGACATCATACTTCATTGTATTGCTACCTTTTGTGTAGTTCCTAAGCCAGACTTTCTTCACAAGCTATCAGTGCTGAGAGCCAGACATGGAGCCCTCCCGACAGCTTTCTGAAGGGTCATATTCTCTGTCTGAGTTGGTCGGCACTCCCCACCTCTCTGAACACTTGTTGACAGACCTTCATTTCTTTTCTAATATTTTGAGCAGATAATAGAGCTCCATCTCACTTTGAAATTAATTTTTTTAATCTTTTGGGGCCACTTTAAAATTTTAATCTAGGGAATTTCACAAATTTCACAAAGAACTCTCCTTACTCCCTTTACCTGTTATTAGCATTCCATTCTAGACTAAACACAAAGAGGTAAAGTTATGCAGTCTCTGTGTATCTTTGTACTCCATGGAAGAGAGAGATGTACCTACCTTGCTTGACAAATACATATATTTTTAAATCTTTGATTCTTACTAGAAATTTAGTGTAATATTGTAGGAGGATTTTACAATTACTTTTTGCCTCAGTCAGCTGCAATTTTCCAGCCTTAGTGTTATACCCCATTGTTTTGAGGAGTTAGGTTCAATTGGGTGATGCAAAAAGACGTCATGAGAGTCAAGTGTTTCAATGTTTAATGCTAACAGTACAAATGTTTAAAGGTTTTAGAAATGACAAATTGCACTGTTATAGCATTAACACACCGTAGACCCCATTTTGAATGGGAGGTGTGAAATGTTCAATGTTACAGATGAGTCACTGGGATAGACTTGGTTTCTAATGTTTCTTTAAGACAGTATTAATTCTGAGCCTGACACTTTTCTCTCCACATTATGTGGTGCAATAGCATGTGTAGTGCAGGCATCTCTTGAGTTATGAACATCAATTTATAAATGTTTCTTGGATATCAGTAGCCAGTTGCTCATCTTTTTCCTCCTTTCTTGATTTAATCAATTTTATTTTCTTATTTTGTCTAATTAACTTTATAAATATTTGCTACTGTTTTTAGTGCAAATGTAGAGCATTTCCTCTTTTATATGGCTTAAAAATAGTTTTGAAAGCAGAACCAGCCTCAGAACTTGTGCATTTGTATCATTGACCTTACCATCCAACTGTCATAGCCTGTATTATTTGGAGTCAAACTACCTAACACCTTGACTCGCTGTTTCTTCAATTTATTTCTTCTTATTCTAATATCTCAGTTTTTGGCTCAGATATTGATCATACTTCTCTGACTTCCACAATTCATGTGTCTATTCTAGTTTCCATTTTTCCATGTTTAAATTGATTAAAGTTGTGAGAGGGATATGAAGGTTTGTAATGAGATGATCTCCAGAGAGCCCTTACAGTTTCGTGAGTCTGTGTCCTTAATCTGCTCTTATTGTTAAATATCTTGTTGTTATTTCATTATTCATGTGCTTTGGTATACAACAGATTTAATTTTGATTACTAAATTTTTTGTTAGGTATCTGTTCACTTAAGCTTATTGTGATATAATTTATAACCAATTTCACAATTGTATCAGAAAATAGTACCTGGTGGTTCTTTATGGCGAACAGAAAACTGTGCTCAAAATCAAATATGTATAGTACTAGAATGTTTGCAAGGTTATAGATGCCAAAGAGAATAACATTTTGTTAGAACCCAAATATTGTGGCTGCTCAGACATATAAAACCAATATGTGAGGCATAGGCATTAATTTGAGGATTTTGATAGCAGCAATAAAGATGTTGAAATATCTTTGCATTAAATAGGAATGCAATGGTGTCTTTTTTGTTTTTGCTACTTTAAAAAATCAATTTACAAGCTTTATAGTTCCCCCTCCCCATTTTTGTTCCTTTTTCTTAACATAGGGATTAAATTCCCTAGGAGTAAACCCAGATCTGTCAACAGACAGCAGTAAACAACAACAACAATAAAAATACAAAACATTTTCTGAGAGTTTATGTTAATTATTGAACAAGAAGAAAGTATAAGGAAGAAGTTCTTTCTGGAGCTTCCTAACTTTTTTCTAGGCTCTTTTAGAGCTGATATGTTGAATGAATTAAAACGAAGTGACAGTGGGGCACAGCCACCAATAATGCTAAGCATTATCAAGACTTTTTTTGTAATTTGCCAATGAAAGCATTACTTTTTTCTTCTTCAGTGGAAATTTTGAAATAACAATTTTCAGCATTTTCATTACTATTAATCTCTGTCTTAAAACTATACTAGGTCTCAAGTATAATATGCTTAAAAAAGTTTCAGACAAAGATGTGAATTTCTTTCCAGTTCCATGAAGCTTGGAATAAACTTATGGAGTGGCTGGAAGAGTCAGAAAAGTCTTTGGATTCTGAACTGGAAATAGCAAATGATCCAGACAAAATAAAAACACAACTTGCACAACATAAGGTAGGTCCATAATTAAGAAGAGCATATTGTCTCATTATATAGTTCAAGATCACTTTAAAATCCTTGCTTCATCACGTGTTTATTCATCACTAAAGAAAAAAAGCTGTCCAATGTGAACCTATATTAAATTTAAAACCTATTGCTCTTCATGTTAGTCGTGTTGCAGTATCTTTACTCTTCAGTGACCATTTCATTAATGATTCCAAGGTTAATTGTTAAAAAGAAAAACATACAAAATAAAAATGGAAGTCGTCTACATTCTAAAACATATAAAGGATTTGTAGTGGTTTTGAACATTGGCATTTCAGTTTTTCATGATAGCTGTCTTTTTCTGTACTTTCTTTGACAGACAAAATAGCACCTTGAAGATAATTCTGTAGAAAAAGTAATAGATATTTGAAATATAGATTCTTTTAAACAATAGAATGAGAAAAATTGGTTGCCCGTACCTAAATTCAAAATTAATATTTTATTGTGTTTGTGCACATATAAAATTACACCCAACCTCAAAGATATCCAAAGACATGTTTATATAGACTAGAAAAGCATGTAGAAACACTGTTTTTTAAATATTTTCTACCTTTTCTATGTCTATCACATTTTATACCTACCACATAACATTCAAAGAGCATTCCCTCCCACCCTTCCCAGCTCTTTTGAATTTGGATTTCTATGTAATTCTATTTATAAAGTGACCCTACCAGCCGTCAGGGTGAGGATGTGGGTAAAAGGAGAGTGATACTTGCAAAGGGTTTTACAATTTTAGGCATGTACATATAAATTATCGCTTGAAACATGATAATTTTAAAAGACTGGAAAAATTGGCTGATAAAAATTTTATCATTATCAGGAGGAAATCCTGGCCATCATCTTCACACAGGTGGCTGCTTCCGTCAGTGGGTCTAACCTTTGGAGGTCATGATTAGAGGGATGGGAGGAAACATATTGAGCATCTGCTCTCTGGCCAGATGAGGGCTAATGAATGGCTTGCTCTGCTGGCACCCTTTGTGAGCTGCCACATTTAATATTGGGAGCACAGTGACAGTGAACAGCACCTTCCTTCCTTCCCCTCTGATAGTGAAATGAGAGCTTCCTTCTCAAAATAGAATGCTTTATTTGAACTTGAACATGGATGTTGTATCATGTAGTCTTATGAAAGTGTATTGCATGGTCCTATAAATAAGAATATCTACCTTTTTAGAGTCTCTGTTTGGCAACAGTGATGTGTATTCAACCATAACACTTTTTGTATGTCTGCTTTGTGAAGAAAATCTCTGTCAATACCATGATTCTATAACATTGGCATTCTGTTTAGAATAATACGAAAAAAATATTTATGGATAACAAACTGTAGAAATAATGTGATTATGATTGTGTTGTCTATTACTTAGAAATTTCCAGATGTACTTGCCTATTACCCATGACAAACTAAATAATTTAGTCATATTAAAACATTTTAAAGTATGTAGCTTTTAAAGGCAGTAAAAACTTCTTAGGTAACTATAACCTTGAGATTATTTTAGAAAATTGTACCTTTGCATAGCATTTTACTATCTAAGGTAATTTTAATTTGCTACAAGGATTGAGAATCACTATATTAATGTTTCCATTGTATTTCATGAGTTTGTAAGCTTCCCATTAAGTTGACCTTTCTTTGTTCTCATTCCTGCTATTGGATATTCAGTAGCAGTTATCTCATTCTTTCTACTCTTCCTGTTGAGTATTTATAAACATCTACTAGGTGTAAGATGATAATGAGAGGTCTACAAAGACAATGTCCCTGCTCTATAAAAGCTTATAATTGAGTTGTGTAGAAAGACTATACAGATGTTCCTCAACTTACAATGGGTTTTTATCCCCATAAACGTGCTGTAAGTTGAAAATTTTGTAAATCAAAAATGCATTTAATACAACTAACATTAGCTTACAATAGAACAAGATCATCTAACACAAATCCTCTTTCTATAGCAAAGTATTGAATACTCAGGTAATTTATTGAATACATGACTGAGGTATGGTTTCTACTGAATCCCTATGACTTTTGTACCATGGTAAAGTCAAAAAATCCTAAGTCATCATAAGTCAGGGACTGTCTATAATTCATCTCCATTTATTAGGAATGCCTCTGTTAATGCCTCTTACCTATTTATTAGTCCCAAGAAGAAATGCACATATTTTTCTTGTTAAATGTGTAGGAGTTTCAGAAATCACTCGGAGCCAAGCATTCTGTCTACGACACCACCAACAGGACTGGACGTTCTCTGAAGGAGAAAACCTCCCTGGCTGATGACAACCTGAAACTGGATGACATGCTGAGTGAACTTAGAGACAAATGGGATACCATATGTGGAAAATCTGTGGAAAGGTAAAATGTTCTTTAAGACAGTTTGGTTACTCTGTAGACCTCTTTCAAATACACAGTAATGGTGCTTTGCAGGAACATTTCAAAAACCTTAAATATTTCCTTTGCTTAAGGAACTTCTGCTTGTCCTAAGTACCCCACATAAATATCATCTGCATTGAGAAGACTTTGCTGTTCATTATTTTTAACTACTCATTACAATAAAAAGTGATATCATTGTCCAAGCTTCTGCCATCTCACACCTGACTACACCCACTGCTTCTGACTCGTCTTCCCATGTCCACCTTTATCACTTCTTTAACTCAATTTCTACGTAACTACTAGGATTGTCTCTTAAAAATGTAAATGGAATCTTGTCATTCCCCTCCTTCATACCCTTTGGTGACTTACTACTGGGCATGCATTGAAACATAGGCTTCTTAATGTGATGTGCAAGGTACCACTCATCTGGCCCCAGCATTTCTTTCTAACTCCATCTACCCTTTTTTGATCTCCCTCTTTCTTATTACATTTCCATGAAAACCCAAGACGTATTTCAAAAATTTTAAGTAATTAAGTACAATAGTAGTAGAGTTCAAATATCTTGTACATGTTTCCAAATTTTCCTGTTGATCCTTAATCCTAATGATTTTTGTCAGCATCAAGATTCAATAGGTTATATTCAGTTCTAGGGAACTCAGTAAGTTTTTGTCATGTTAGTTTTTTAAAAATCTTAAATTCCTGAGCCACAAAATTTTACATACCTTTTCCAGTATTGTATATATGGTTTTATTTACAACATTTTTGAAAAGACAAAATAATGAAGTCATGACAAACAGATCAATGAATGCTAGGGGCTTGAAGACAGGGACAAGGTGTGTCTATAAAGAGACAGCATGAGGGAGAATTTTGGGATGGTTGAACTGTTCTGGATCTTGATTGTGGTGATGGTTACATGAATCTATATATGTGTTAAAATGTATAGAAGTGTATATGAAAAAATGTCAAGTATACTGCCTGATAATCTAAAACAAAATTTTAAAAATATTTGAACAATTTAAAAGGTCGATTTTTATAAAGAAACATGAAGAGTCCATGGTTTCCAAAGGTGGGAATTTTCCTGGAACAGATGCCGTGTATTTAAGGAATAAAAAAGAAAGTTTAGAAAAGTTTTGGGTTTTTTTCTAAGAAGAGCAAAGAAGCAACAATGAATACCAATATACTGCTCTTCCTCTTGAGTACCACTCAGCCTTCATCAATTAATTTTAGATGTTCAGATATATGAGTGGCTTTTTTTGTTGCAAGGATCAATTTTTCTACCTTTTTCCCTAGACAAAACAAATTGGAGGAAGCCCTGTTATTTTCTGGACAATTCACAGATGCCCTACAGGCTCTCATTGATTGGTTGTATAGAGTTGAACCCCAGCTGGCAGAAGACCAACCTGTTCATGGAGACATTGATTTAGTGATGAATCTGATCGATAATCACAAGGTAATGTTATCTGGGGCATTTTATTTTATCTTGTTTGATTACTCTGAGTGTACAAGAAAATACGAACCATTTAAATTAGCTTTTAAAATCAGGAGACTATAGATCATATGACATAACAGTCTTTATTTTTGAAATATGTGTCTGAGCAGAACCTGGAAGCTACCTTTAAAAGTGATGGGGAAATATTATTTAGTGTCAGTGAAATACTTTTGTTTTTAATTACCGGATCTAAAACCTTTTTAGAACTTGGAAAGTGATTTCATTCTCTGGTGCTTTAAAACAGATTTCAAGAATGTTTTACTGTCTTTAGTTATGCACTTAAACAATTATGTAATAAAATTTAAAATCATTCATTCAGTGACCTGACACTAAGTTATTGCATAAGTGTGTAGATTTGTGACATGATCCGTGGGGGTCATGACCAACTGCTTTTAAAAATATGGAACCAAAACTGTTTTAACCTTGCCCCTTGAACTATAGCAATTTATGAGTCAGCAGCATGTGCTATGAGGGATTTGATTATTGTTTACTTCAAGAAAACTGGCTTTCTTGAAATCTCCTGATATATTTATGTTAAACTGTTGTGTCACGTAAATCAAAGGTAATATTCAAGGTGTCCAGCTAAGTGTAAGGTCCTAAATTATGATCAAATCATATAAAACAACTTAGCCTGGAAACAATATGAAGCATAGTACTAATTTAGAATAGTTGTGTCGGAGTTGACTTTATATAAAAACATCTTACATCACTCTACTTGAATTCATCTTGTATTTCCTCTGTCTAGTGTTTGAGTTCAGAAAACTTATTTCATTTGTAATGTTCTCTTTATACTGGTTATGCTATTTTGATCTTACCATTCTTTTTAAAATAGTCTTATTGCATATTTATTTTCCCTTTTTTCTTTCTATTCTATCGTTATACCCATAAGAGAGTTTGTTACGCTCAAAAAGTGAAACAAACTAAATTAAAATAAAATAAAAGAATAAATAAAGAACAACGGTTAGGTCTACAAAAGCTAAAAATTTAAAAATTACATGCTTTGCTTATATTGAAATAAATATTTTGTGTATGGTTAATACTTCTCTATTTCCTGGCATTTATTCAATGAGTAATGAATAGCGTAATGTTACTTATTACATAAATGCCATTTCTGTAAACTCACTGTCTAAATATTTAGTACTCTAGGTAATTGCCAGATCTTTTATACATTAAAGGTCATCAAGAATGAATGAATCATTTAGCATTAGTAATACAACTGGAAGGCTCAAGAAGTTCAAGTATGCAAAATGCTTTGGAAAGTCTGCTAAAAACTATTGGACTAGTCCTATCATAAATGGAATATTTAAATACTGTACCATTTGCACATGTGTTTATGTGTGTGTGTGAATGTGTGTATTGGTGTATATGTGTGCATTTGTATCTATCTGCAGGCATATCATAACTGTTAGAGTTGAATCCGTCAAATAATCACTTTTGTGATACGCTCACTTTTGTGAGTGATCTGAGTATCAGAATAGAAACCTATAGATAAGGCCAAATGGTAATATTCATTTATGATGATTATTTTAAAAACTCATTAATTTCGTTGTGACAGAGTGTTGGTTATTAATGTTTGAAAGATCTAGTTGCATACACAGATTCTTGGATCAAAAATAAAGAGCACTGGGCTC